TTCTCAGATATATCTCGTTTTTTGAACCAGGCTGTAAACATGTTGATTCCTGTGGTAAAAACGGGCTTTTTTGGCTGTGGGCTTATGGCACTTCCGGCGCTTCTGCAGCCAGCCTCAAGAGGAACCTCGAGGAACTGCAGTGTTTTGTACTTCCGCATAGGCTTCATTTTTCGAGACCTGAGGTTGCCCCTTGGTGTGAACACAAATGGCTGGTTACCCCCTGACTTTTTCTTGCCAGCCCCCAATTGGAGGGAACTCAGGAAGATTTCAGGGGCCGCCTGTCCTGGAATCTTCCAGAAGGTTGCATGTGTGAAAAGGCTAACTGCTTGTATTAGTGAAACAGGCAAGTCTGTGAAAAATCGTTTGAGTGGTCATTACATGTTTGAGTTGGTTTAGATCTCCTTCTTTCTTATATGTTGTTACATTTGTCTTGTAATCTGTCAATCTTGCTGGCTGCAAACAAATCTACCTACGGGTACAAATAAAGCAACCTGAACCTGATCCATTTTTTAAAATTCTGGGAAAAACTGAAATAAACAGACTTTTTTTTTTTACATGAAAACAGATAAAGAGAAAAGAGAAAAAAAGAATTGAAGAAAGAAAAACCTGAAGATTTCTTCTGAAGCTGTGGTCGCTGCTTAGGTGCCTTATTATAACTGTACAGGAAGGTGTGCAATAAAATATGTTAAAATAAAATGAACCTGAAAGTTTTTGAGTGGACACTGGAGGTATGAACACTGATGACAGTCTGTCTGAGAGTTAATCCTTCTGAAATGTGATCCCTGTCTGCATAATCCTTTTAAATTTGATCGGAAATAATGACCCAGAGTACCGTCAGCCTTTTCTTTCCCTGCAGAGGAAACGCTTGGATGTCTGACGCTAGCTGATGCTTGAACTAATATTTGTCCCAAGCCCGTCTGCAGATGACCGAATTATGAGAATAGTCCATCCTCTCCGTCCACTTTTCAGAAAATGTGTGCACAAACAAAACAATAACTCATCCGTTTTTATTTTATGAAGGATCTGAGTTATACACAATGAGGCCCGTAGCTGACATGATTGATAGGTGGGCGTGATTGTTACAGTTTATCAAGAGGCTTAAAACCCGCCCACAAGCAAATCCACATGTTTTTGGGAGCTCTACCCACTTATTACTTGAACTATACTTCAAAGAAGTGAACAACACAATAAGCTGAAATAAAAATATAGAAACAGAACAAAATGTTTCAATACCTAACCATCCATCGTCTTCCTCTTTTCCTAGGCCTAGACACGTAGGCAGCAGGCTAAAGCTGGCTCCACACAAGACTGCTTAACCAATTTTTTGTATTTAATTTCATTCATGTAAGATAAGATAAGATAAGATAATCCTTTATTTATCCCGCAACGGGGAAATTTACGGTGTTACAGCAGCAAAGATTGGCTCCCTCTTCAACACGACAGTCGGGTACAACATTACAACGTCCGCTGTAGCAATCCATCTGTCAATCTCTTGATCCTGTTTAAGCTCCACACTGTGAATAAGACCCGGAGATACTTGAACTCGTTCACTCAGGGCAAAGACTCGTGCCCCATCCTGTGGGAGCAATCAATTTTCATTCAGACCCTCGTCCCAACCCCTTCGCACTCGGCTGCATTATGACGCAATTTCAATGCTTTCAATAAATATTTTGGGGCTATTGAATTACACAACCTCCTAGCTTACAAAACCCCCACAGTAATGGAGGCCATATATTCTTGTAAGTAGTTCTGGATTAATGTATTTAGTGTATGTATTAAACATATGTGAACGAAAAGAGCTCATTTTAGTTTTTTCTAAAGACACATTTTAAATAGTTTTATTTCATTTTAATTTTTTAAAGTTTATTTTGGGGCTTTTATGCTTTTATTTTAGAGTACAATGGATAGAGAGTCAAAGATCAAGGAGAGAGAGAGAGAGTGGGGAATGATATTCAGGAAGGGAGCCACAGGTCGGATTTGAAGCCTGAGTGATGTCAGCCATCTTCCAGCTTTGGAGTCCCATCTGCAGCAGCCGCCATGTTGGAAATGCTGTCTCAGCCTAACTTTCAGTCAACCCAATGACAGACTGAGAGCTGAAGCTGAGGTGTCAATCATGTCAGCTACGCGCCTGACTATGGATAACGCATACCGTTTTCATAATCAAAATGGAGCTGTTAAAAAAAGACAGAAAAGATGGACTTTTCTGATGATTTGGGCGTCTGCAGACGGGCTTGGTACACATATGGCCTCGATACATGGGGCCGTGCACACAAACCACGAGGCTACCAGCACCCACTTGAATAACTTTTAATATATTATTTAAGTGAGATCCATGACCTGTTAGCGTAGGTTGTGCACATTCTAAAACTTAACTTTAGATAACCTGACATCGAACCAGGCAAAATACCCACGTGTCAGGTATATTTTTTTTGCTCAGTTAAAGAAAAAATATTTTGTTTGCGTCTCTATTTGCAGAACACTTCTGGATCAATATGTTTTTTTAGGAAATGTTGACTCTTTTATATGTAATTGTTTGACATGCATTACCATTTTGCTTTTCAACGTGCAGATTCTAGGAATAAAGAAACTCAAGAAATGACTTCACAAAAAGTAAAAAATAAAAACGTAGACGCTGAAACGACAGAAGAGAGGAAATTACTCAGAAGTAAGACAGGATGAAATGAAAGTGTTCTCTGTGTCCTCTCCTTTGTTTTCATTACTTTACATGTCTCAGACACTGTTCAAACACCTTTCCACCTCTCCCATGCTCTCTGTTATTCCTGCAGAGACCACACCTCAAACACGCCTATATTCAATATGCTTTTCAGTCAGCCGATGCAAAACAGTAACGCATGATTTCTCCCCCTCTCTCTATTCCCCTCGTATAAAAGTGTCCCTTTCTGCCTCCACCTGCAGCCCCCTCCACAGTCATCCGCAGGTAGGCATGATTTATTCATACACGCTCAATTTAAGGATTATGCTTACTCTGTATAAAATGTTAGATTCATAATATGTGTTAAAACAGACGTAAGGATTGCTATTAATTTGATTTAAATTATCAGCGTAGCTGTAGTTTAGATTTGATGAAAGTTTGAGAACTTAGTCTGAAAACGAAAGGGTTAACTCTTTGTGTTAGAGTCATAATTATATCTCCATTATTGGGGCTTTACTATGCTGCTTTTGTGATTAGTTAGAGTTCTTCTAAGTACAGGAATTTTCTTCTTTTTTTTTCTACATCTTTTGACCAAATTTGCGGCATTCTCAAGCAACAATATCTAAGAAAAAAAATCAACAATATAAATAACACCTGTTCAAAATCAGTCTGCAGCAGATATGTGACTTTTAGCTCCCATCATTTTGCACGCAGTCTGAATCAATTGGATTAGTTTGGTTTTTAGCTGAACAGACAAACCGCGCTGTGATTTTTCTACATCTTTTGACCTGTTGGCAAATTTGCGGCATTCTCAAGCAACAATATCTAAGAAAAAAATCAACAATACAAATAACGCCAGGTTCTTAAAATAGCAGTGCAGAAACGAAAAAGACAAATGATAGTCCAGGACCTGTTCAGTCTACAACGGGAAACTCTGAGCCTCTGACCAAAGGACAGCAGCTCCTCCATGTGACGGGTCACTGACAAATCAGCCTGTTCAAAATCAGTCTGCAGCGATATGTGACATTTAGCTCCCATCATTTTGCACGCAGTCTGAATCAATAGGATTAGTTTGGTTTTTAGCTGAACAGACAAACCGCGCTGTGACACCATTTTAAGTTAATGCGCGCAGGGGGCGGCTGTATCCTCGACAAAAAGAACATATTTAAAACATTCTTAACTTGATGCATTCTTGAAATTAATACTAAGAACTTATTTTCCGTGCATCGTGTACCATCATGTCACTGTCTAGTCGGTGTTTTTTTCTTACTCATTCAGTTTGTTTGCGGTTTTCTTCATCCTCCTGCTTACATTTGAAACAAAATATTTATTATACTCCAAGATTCACAAAGTGTTTTGCTGGGACTCAGTGAAGGTTTAGGGAAATCTCTTTCTACATTATGTCCTTGTGAGTGTTAAATGTATAACATGCAAGTATTTTGAAATTTGTACGATATACATAGATATGTATAATTTTCCCCTTCACCCTTAGATTGGCTAATTGAAGATGTACTGCAACAGGCTGCAGGCCAATTTTTCATGTTGTCTTTTATGTTGGGCCTTTATGAATGACTGTTTGAGAGACATTTTAATTCCTTTAAAAATTAAGCATGGAAAATTATTAATATTTGTATTAATTTATTTATTGAATTAGTACAGTGCACATTTAGGCATGATGCTATTTGGACATCTCTTAGAGGGCTTTCACACTTCACACAGAAAACCCCTGATATTTCCAGGAGGAGCTGTATGTGAAAACGCAAACAGATGCATTATTCGCTCGGACTTTACCCAGAGTTTTTCCTGCCACAAACCTAGTATTTATCTGGGCTGATGTGAGAACGCAACAGGATATTCTCCGGAGAGTTCAACATGAGCCTGTGGGAGGGGGGAGTGAAGTTCATATCCCCGGTGCATAGAGTGTTTGCACGCGACCGCTACGATCTCAGTGCACATAATTAAACGGCTGAATTATGCTTCTTATTCTCCAGTGTGTTTCCTCCGCCCTTTTGTTGATAGTGTGATTCTGTAGCATTGATGTAAAGGCAAATATTCTCATCATAGCGTCTTGCGGACTCTGCTCCTTGTCCGCTACTTCTGTGGGGTTTTTTTTACGTCATGTCTTACCTCTACCTCTTTTTTATTGAGTCTACTGTGTTAGTCTGAGATACATTTCCTCAAGGACACAACAGCTTATTGTGACGAGTTGTATAAAGTATTTCAAGGGTGGGATAGAAAACAAGAAGGAAGCTGCAGAATGTGTGTGTGTCAAAATGAATTCTTATCTCTAAGATTATTTTATTAAAATTGTGTTGTCATCTCTCTCTCTTTTCCTTCAGCTATGGAAATGAGGCCTCTCACGCTGTGTTTGGCTGCTGCACTCTTTGCAGGTATTAATGTGTTATCGCAGCATCATCCATTTTGAGTACTGAAAATGTTTTGGGTCATGACTAATACATTAAGTAAAATCTCTTCTTCTCCGCAGTATGTCACAGCTGTTCTTCAGGAAAAGAGTTTATCACAGGTTTTCTTCCAAACTTTCAACAACAAAATCCCCCAGACCACAGACTCCACTTGGTCCTGACCGCTCAGGAATCTGAGGCCAAAGTCCACATTCAGGTATGAACTAGCATCTAAAAGTTAATGTGGTGCTCATGCACAGGTAAAACTAAGGTTCTATAGTAGTACCAAAGCTTTTGAAAAACCTACATCTATTCATGAGACAGGGGCGCAGGAAAGGAATAAATCCATCATACCACATGGACTTGGTGTCCCTATTAATATAAAACAAAGAATATCAAGTGCAGCAAAGGAAACAGCTACTTTACTGACTTTGTGTCTTATTTTGAGTCATTTGAGTCAGATACAGCCAGAACAGTCCACACTGTGTCCCTGTGATTGTGCTCATGCATGAACTTTAGCGTGCCGAAGAACACCTCTTTGAAGCATGCCAGGAACCAAGGAAGTGTTCCGTGTTTGAGCTCGGATCAGAGCACTCACACTTCTCAAACAAACTGGGATTTGAGGGGGAAGCGTGCCTAAGCACAGTTTTGGATTCCCTAGAGCCTTGGTTCAGTACAGTTTGGTCTAGTTGGCAACGGTAAAGCCTGATCTTGCTTGCTTTTTCACAGCCAACCGTACCCTTATTTGGTAAGCATAGTGTAAGCCAGATGGAGATAGTCGCGTCAGCTATTAAATAGTGTGACATCATAGCAGCCCAACACAGTGTAGCCCCGCTATTAATTAAGTTCAATGAAGAAGAAGAAGAACGGGACACAGTAAACAAAAGGGACCCTTTAGGGTAACCTTGGCACCTCAACAGAAGGGTACCAAAAAAGTAGGACGGTACGGATCCCTTATTTTGGTACTATTCCCAACTTCTGACGCTGGAAACGGCAATAAATGGGTAGTGTCACGAACTGAACCAGACCACTTGGTGGAAATGGGGCTTTAGTACGAGAGCACCCTCAAAGTCCTGTTCTTTTGACTATTTGCAGTTTTGTTCTTTGTGTTATTCTCCGATATGCAGACACGGACTCGACCACGCGTCCCTTTTTACATTTTTTTGAGTCCGCTTGCCTTGTAAACTAAGCACGCTTCATGATCATGTTATGTACAAGAGGCAATCATGCTCAGGCCCGGTTAGTCCTGGAGCAGTGTGAGTGCAGGCAGGCGGGGAAATGGGGAGGGAGCTTCAGCACAGTATGGGACAACTGGGCCTAGTGTGAGTGTGCCCTAAGTGTTTTATCTGGTTTTAAAACTGAAATTTTTACTGATACTGACACAGATTCCTTCTAAAGACCTTCAAAAGCAAAACATTTCATTGTATTTGTCACTGCTTTAATGTCCTCTGAGAACATCATCTAACACCAGCCAGTCTGATTTTATTGTAGTTTCTGAAAGTTCTCATTGATCTGCAGGTGGCTTCAGTCAAGTTCTCCAAGGAGCTGACCCTACGTGCAGGGGAAACTCGTTGGGTTTCTTTACCATGTGGAACTGAGCTGCAGAAACTATACGTCAGTCCAAAATCTGCAGTTCGAATCTCATCGAGCACTGGAATCTCTGTGGTCACCTTCAACCGCCGCGTCCGCTCCGGAGACGGCGCAGTGGTTTCCCCAATTCAAGATCTAGGCACTGAGCACTATGTGTTCACACCCCCATCTGGGAGACATGGCTTCGACAGGCTAGTTGGCATCGTAAACGGGGACAGCCAGAACATGATCACCATATTGCCAGCCAGTGATGCAAAACTCAGAGGGGGAGCGAAGTGGAATAAAGGGAAAGCGGTGACCGTCACCCTGCAGCCCTACGAGTCCTATCTGATACGAAGTCATACCTGTTTGTCAGGCACTCAGATTAAATCCCAGAAGCCTGTGGCGGTGTTAACTGGTCACCAGTGTCTGAACCTCGGTCGTGGTTGTGAACATGTGTATGAACAGCTCCCCCCTGTGGCTAAAATGGGTAAGGAGTACATTGTGCCCTTCACTGGGAACTCCAAAACAACTAACGTAGCTGTGGTTATGGTTGGTGAAGATGACGCTGAATTGACGGTGTACCAAGGCCAACAGCGAATGAAACAGTTGAGTCAAATATTCATTATTAGTCTGTTGATGCTACATACATCGAGTTTATTGACACTTTCTGGATGCTTGATCATTTGTTCACCCATTTGTCAAAAAGATTGTTTTTGGTGTTTGTCACTCGACCTTAATGGAATCCAGGTTCTTTGACGTTTCTGTGGTTTTGTGACTTTTTTTGAATATACAAATGACTTTATAAACCAGAGAGTTTAAGTCACAGCATTAGTTCAAGGTTTAAGGAAAAATATGAATCAAGAGACAAGACAATGTCAAGGGAAAATCCAGAATAAAGAGGCAATGTTGAGAAACAATGATAATGGGGAAGTTTAAACATCGAGAACACAAGTCTTTGACTTGAGACTGAAGTCAAAATGTCAGGTATTGTCACAGCTATGGAGGAACAAGGAACTGGACCCAATTTCAGATGAAAAAAATGTCTTAAATCCAAATTCCAAAAAGTAAAAAGGTCCAATATAAAAGTCCAAACACAGGGAGAAACAAAATGTCACCAAGGACACACGGAGAAGATTTTGACGTGACGATCTGACAGGGAAGAGAAAGCACACAGACACTAAATAGAAACCAAACCAAATAACATTGTTTACCTGCTAGGGCCCGATCGATATGGAATTTTTGGGGCTGATACCGATATCAATATTTGGGAGAGAAAAAAATCCAAAACCAAAATATCGGCCAATATCTTTCTAAGATATATCTTTGATCTGTAGACATAGATTCGTACCTTTATTGCCTTGATCCCTCAAATGCAGTTACCAAACCCTTGTAAAAAGATATATGACATAGACAAGATGGTCACTCAACAGGGAAGTAACTACGAATGAAGGCGCATCTCCGCTTGACACGCTGGAGAATGACAGTGCTTGTTGTAATCAACTCTGCTGGTGACAGATAACTGCTAGAGTAAAACACTGAAAGTCAAATAAATGCTACTCTACAGACGACTAAATCTTGAAATATCGGCACATATCTGCGATAAGAGTAACTGATACCGATAGTCAATACATACGCTAATATCAGCCGATGTTGGCTGGCTGATTAATTGGTTGGGCGCTTTTACCTGCTGACATTTTTAAAAGAAATTGTGCACAGTTTTGACTTTTTTCTGGGTGTTTTCTTACCTTTGGACTAGTCAGTTAAACTGAATTCGAATTTCCGTTTAACCGACTAGAAAATTAGTCGGCTGAGAACATTCCTACTTTTGAACTGTGTTATAAAAGACATGCCAATATGTTAAATCTCTTTAAAATTAAGATGACTTTTTATATTGAAATACTAAAAAATAAAAATCCTTTTCATCTACAGTATTCTGAAGAAAGCGGGACAAATGTTGGCCATTCCGATGAAAATGAAGCGTCCTCTGATGGTGAAGAGCAACAAGAAGGTGATGGTGCTGCTGCTTAGCGACAACAAACCAAGGGACCCCTTCTTGATAACTCTGATTCCGACATGCAAGCTGTCCACTGATTGGGCGGTGGAGACAGTGGACGGGTTAAAAAGTTGGGTCTCCATTGTGTCACGGAGGGAGGGGGCAAGCAGTGTGAAGGTGTGTAATAAGGGGCAGTGCTTCTCAAAACTCAAGTGGTCCAGTGTCGGCTCAGATAATGTATGGGTGTCGACAAAAGTCAAAGTGGGAAAACAGCAGAGTCATTTCACAGTGGAAGGAGATGTTCGTATGGCGGTCTATGCCTACGGTGGAAGGAGAGCCCACGGGTTTGGAATCGCTGGAGTCTGTTCTGGAGGTACAATCACTCACATATATATTGTAAATTCACATATTCACACACACTTTTTAAAAAATATTTCATCCCCACATTTCCCTACAGGCGTTACACACACACACACACACATACATACACACACACACACACACACACACACACACACACACACACACACACACACACACACTCACACACAACAAAACTGCTGATTCAATGTTGTGCTGTATTTGTTCACTTATATGCATTTACATGTTGTGTATATTTTGAAGGTAACACTCCCCCACCACCACCACCCAAAGATCCCTGTGAAGACGTTACATGTCGGTCAAAGGAGAGTTGTGTGAATGGAGAATGTGTCCCTGTTTCCACGGCAACTTGCACAGCCATGGGTGACCCCCACTTCACAACGTTGGATGGACGTCGCTTTGACTTCCAGGTATGATTGAACAAGGCAAGCTATCAGAAGGCTTTCACCATATCTATACTAAGGTGGTGAATAGAAAGTATTTTCTCAAATCAACAAATAGAAGTGTGCTTCTATCACGGAAATGTTAGAAGCACATGTACCATGGACCGTAGACTGTATATAAACATGGACGCACGGCTCCACCTCCCCTCCTTACACAAAGTGAAGTAAAAACATCGCTAACATCTTGGCCCGGTGACATAATTTAGAGCCAGAGTCTGAACAGTATGGATCAACTGGTGGAGCCACAGAATTGAATAAGTCCTTTTAAGTCCCTGACACACCAAAAAGTTGCTCTAGACCACATCGCAAAGACTACAGCCAACGGCCAACCACCACGTAAGTTCTGCGAATGTGTGAGAGGAAATAACTCTCCATGCTAGCAGGCGGCGGTAGTCCGTTGTTATGATACGAGAAGACCACCTTCACACCGTGTGCCACTCATATTACAGTTAGCCTGCTAATCAAGAATAATGTCTGATAACAAGTTGAAAATGGCGCTGGCGTTGTCAGCCCTTGGTCTTTTAGTGGAAAAAGAAAAGAAGAGGCGGAGGCGACAAATAAAGAGAAACCGCACTAATGGGTGAAAGCATGGATACTACAGCGGCATGCTCAAGGGGCTTTACAGAAACTGTGTCGAGAGCTGGAGAGAAATGAAACCTCCGAACAGCCAATCAGAGAGATTCCTCTAACCGACCACCGATGCAGATTCAACCATGTCGAATTGGCCAAAAAAAGGCCGATGGTGGCCAATGGATAGCAATGGAGCCGGTCCAACTAAGACCAACTAAGACCGATGGCCAATGATCTCCTTGGTGTGTCAGGACCTTAACAGCAAGCACACATTAAACTTACAGATAAATCATCAAAGATCTCTCAGATTCTTGTGTTAGTTTAAAGCAGACACACACAGTTATAGGAAGTTCAGTGACTCGTGTGTTATGCTTCCCATCAGCAGGGGAACGCCTCCTCTACTCTGATAATCTGGTGCACAGAGCCTAATTGGTCAACAGAGCCTTCAACCATGGGGTTATACCCCATTTAATAGCATCACATAACTAATTAGAACTAAGCTTCTCAGAGAAATGATCACTTGGAAATAATTAAGCATGATAAGAACTAACGATGATAAAAAAAAAACATGTTTAAGAAAAATGTATTTGACATGTATTTTGGTTTTTAAAGTTTGATAAATGTCCCATCTGTTAGCATGGAGGAGGTGGGATTTATGACTGCAGCCAGTCAGTAGGGGGAGCTCTAAATGCTCTGGCGTCACATTAAGGGAGCTGTCATGTTGTTGGTCTGTTTTTATAATTTGAGCTCACTGTCTCAGGTTGTCTTACAAGCTGCAGAAAATGTTTATAATGGGCGTAAATCATTCTTTTTAGGGCACCTGTACCTACATTATGGCAACAGTGTCAGAAAAAGATCCTACCCTTACTCAATTCACTGTAACTACAAAGAACAACCATCGAGGAAGCCGCCGAGTTTCCTACGTGAGGACTGTGACCGTGACTGTATACGAGCAGACGATAGTCATCAGCAGACATGGAGGACGAGTAGAGGTAACACACTCACATGTGGAATGTAATTATCAATAAAGACACAGTTAAAACGGGCTTAGCTGCGACTCAGTTACAGAAGATATTTGTAGTCAGCAACACAGCTGCTGGATTGCATGGCTCAGCTTTTAGCCAGGAGAGATACAGACTTACGGGAAGTTGTGATTAATGGTCTGTTGTTACCTCCAGGTGAACGGGGAGCTTCAGTACCTGCCTGTCAGTCTGTTGAAGGATAAGGTCACTGTGAGTAGGAGTGGGTCCTACGCTGTCCTCAGCACTGACTTTGGCCTGGTTGTAAAATACGACTGGAATATGAGGCTATGGATTACAGTTCCCTCCTCATACTATGAACACATGGGAGGACTTTGTGGGAACTACAACGGAGACAGGAAGGACGATCTGCCGGACCCCAAAGGTGAGGAGGGGTGTACAAGATGAAAGAGCACAGAGGTGGAAATTCAATTTTTAATGTGAACAAAATGTTCAGATAAAATAATTTTATTCACATTTAAAGAAAAAAATGCTTTCTGTAAACACTTCAACTGGACGACAATGATCCAATCTGGCCTTTTCTGTGAAATATTTCACTCTAAATGAGATGGATGGTTTATGCCATTCTTCATTACGATCAATATTCATGAAAACATTTGTTCGGATTGTTTCTTGCTGGTTGGGATGAATCTATTCTATCTGCACGTGTTACTCCACTCAAGTTGAAATCACAAATCAAAGGGGATCCTTGAGCTACATTTTATTCGCATCTCCAAGCCATCAATCATGCTGTGAGAATTATAACTACTCAAAGTAGAGAGAGCATGCTCAAAGAGAATAATCAGCAAAAATCCTACCAAATCACATTCACTGCAATGTTAGGCTGTCATGTGAATCATGCTATCATGATAGCCATTAGCTTAGCCTGTTAGCATTTTAACCATTAGCTGCAAGTAGGCTATAATATAGAACAACAAAAAACAACAACAGTTAACCTCATTGGCCGCATTAATCGAAGGGTTCATGGTCACAGTGGAGGTTTGCCAGGTTTTGATTTGGGGTTATAGAGGTACTTTCACTTCAAACAGCTGTTTGTTTTATGTCTCTTCTAGGCAACAGTATCCCAATAGTTCTGGAGATGATCAAAAAGTGGAAGGTGAAGGATCCAGATCTGTTCTGTAACGACAACTGTGGCGGTCGCTGTCCTCACTGTTCCCCAGAGCAACAGATTCACTTCAGAAAACCCACACTGTGTGGGCTCATGACCAAAGAGGACGGCCCTTTCTCAGCCTGCCACAAAACCGTCCAACCCTACCCATTCCTGGACAACTGTGTCTATGACGTCTGTGTCACTAAAGGTAAAACAACCAGTGAAATATAAGAGGCTACTGTTGTAATAACCTAACTGCAATATAAATACATACACAGTATTTTCATCCAAATCCCTTTGTTTTTTTTTTGATAATCTGATGATTCTCTATAACCTTTGATAACATATAACATTGTTAATACCTGTAGTAAATTAATTTATTAAGATATGAATATATCCTTGTACGCCAAGTGGGCACCACCTTCAAAAGAAGGAAGTTAACTGTAATAATTAATTAATCAATCAATCTCAAATCAGAATAGTGAATCCTTTGGGAGAATTTTAATCATTAAGCAAACACAGACAAAGTTCTAAATGATTACATGTGATTTTATAACAGTTTTTATACAATAATGCAGATAAATAAAGTAAATATCAAAGATGATAATTTTTATGATTTTAATAATGGTTTTATACAGACTTTTGACATTGAAATGAAATAGTTTGAGTCTGAGTTTTAACATTGTGAGAGTAATCTCTGAACATTTAGGAAAATATTCTTCTCTTGCAATCTGTAATTTTAGAAAAAAATGTGTTAAGTACTTTATATATGATAACAAGCAAATATCATTATAACAGTCTAAATATATGTTTAAAAGTCTTATGTGTCTAAGACGATACTAACCACAAGGTAGAAGTAATACTTCACCTTAGAATATTCAGTGGAAAATCCATTTAAACAGTTCTTACTTAACTCGAGTATTGTAGCTCGTATGAAAATGGGAATTGGATCAAAATGTCTGACACTGGCTGACACTCAATCGTAATTCTCTATACATACCTAACCTGCGTTTATGGGGGCGCTAAACACAGCTCTGCTGGAGCTCAGGATTTATTAGGAGGAAACACTGACTCAGATTTAAAATTCATTAAATTCCAGAGGGGCGCTGTTTCTCTCTTTGATTGTCCACTCAGTGGTCCATGGTTGTTTCAATGTGAAAATTCAATATGTTGTGATTTAAAGATGTATGTTATGATCTGAGTTTTCATGTACAACCGTAAATAATGTATTGTGTGTATTTTTCTGTCCAGGTGCCAAACAGATTCGTTGTGATAACCTGAAGAGTTATTATGACACCTGTTTGTCACAAGGAGTGAAAATGACCGCCGAGTGGAGAGAGCACTCCGGATGCAGTAAGTCACGAAGCATGTAAAAACCACTTTACATCTTGTTCACGATGTGAACAAAAACTGAGTTAACGGTCCTCAGTCACTCTTTGTTTTATCACGTATAACTAAAGAGGTCAGAACATTGAGCTGTCCAATTATTTAAGTTTTAATATAAAGAAATCTAATAAGTCTGATGTAAAATGTTGATATCTTTATGTAAAGTTTCCCAAGATTTCTTTTGGGGGGATTGAGTGCTATGTAAATACGTAATTTGTGGTTTTGTTACATTGGTAGAAATGGTACCGTTTCTCACATATTAAAAGATTGAGCTTTAACAGGACTACCAATGCTCTCCTCTCTCTCTCTGCAGCCCCCTCGTGTCCAGCTGGAAGCCACTATGAGGCGTGTGGTACAGCGTGTCCCAACACTTGCTCGTCCCCAGACATTGCGACGCGCTGTAAGTCTCCCTGTGTGGAGGGATGTCAGTGCGATAAAGGAAGGGTGCTCAGCGGAGACAGGTAACTTAGCAATGATGCTACTGATGTAAATGCGAGCACATCAAGAAAACACAAACTCTGTGAACAAAAATCATCATACTCGCTGCTATTTGTAGACTTGAAGCATAAAAAATGTTGCACGTTTATAAAATAAGTTCCCATAATCACACACACAAAGGCCACTGACCTGAATGGTTTAAATAGTTTTTTTTACCCATCATCCCCTTTGATTAATCAAACCATGTGTCCCTGACAGAATGAAGCACTTTGTAACCTTGGTATAACCCAATATGCCTTCAAGTGTGCTGTTAATTAGATAGAATTACACACTGTTCCTGAGTTTGTGGCGTCCCTCAGGGTTCTATTCTTATGCCTCTTCTTTTTAGTTACCCCAGGAAAAAAGTTTTTTTCTTTTCTCTGTCGAAGAAGGATGTATTTACACCTCACAAAGATGCATGCCAATTCACTTGACAAAAATGCCAGAGAAACAGAGTAGGGACGGTCCCAACAGTTGTTTTTTTCCTATAGTGTGTGGAGGTGCAACAATATGATTAAAACAGCACACTATACACAAACAGATTCCATTCACAAACAACTAGAGTCCCATCACTCAAACTGGAAATCTCTTGCGGTCAAACCAGGATTGTAGCAATTTAACAATGACAGGCAGGACGTCCCTGACATCTTTCCGAGCAGATCGGATCAGTCTTTACACACCTCACATCACAGGAAGGCAAGATAATCTTTAGGACATGATGATCTTTGGCTTTCTGTTTCAGATGTGTCCCTAAATCTCAGTGTGGATGTCAGCATGACGGCAAATATTACCCAGCAGGCACCAAGTTTTGGGGGGATAACACCTGCTCCACCAGGTGTAAATGTGTCAATGGTAAAACAAAGGTAGGTGTGTGTGTTTGTGTAAGAGTGTCATATTGGTGCCATCATCTCTGCGGGTCTTTTAAATACCAGAATCCAAGTCTGATATCACTTTTAAACACTACACGACAGCTACTGTATGATTCACTTTATACTTTTTTTTCGTTCATTCCTACTCTTCAGATGCTGTAACATGTAATTTCTCACACAGGTTGATTAGTTTCTCTTCAGGCCGCCATATCTGAATTTTTGATATAAAAGTATTTTATAAACATATTTTAAACAGATGTTTGTCGATTTTATGCTGTTTCTGTTTATTTTCCTCTGTGATCCATCTTTGTTTTCTTTTCTTTATGAAGTGTGATAAAGTCAGCTGCAGGAAGAATGAGCACTGTGGGCTTAAGAAGGGAGTCAGGGACTGTTACGCAACATCCTTTGCATCATGTCAGTGCACCGGAGACCCCCACTGCATAAGCCTGGACAACCGGCGCTTTGATTTCCAGGGTACATGTACCTACGTCCTCTCTCAGCTGGCCAAGGGGTCCGACAAGGGACTGGAGCCGTTCCAGTGTCTGGTCCAGAATGAGAACAGGGGACGGAACAAGGCGGTGGCCTACACTAAGTCTGTGTCTCTCACCGTGTTCGGTAACGTCACTGTCAGCTTGAGTAGCACCAACCCGAGAAAGATAATAGTAAGACAACTCTGTTTATATGTGACTTGAATATATTTTGGTTCTTTAAGGACAACGTGCAGCTTTATTTTTTACAATATCAAAAAATGTGTGCACAGCAAATTATTAAATATACAATTGTAGATTTACACCAAAAAGAATATAATCTGTGTTAAAAATGTAAGCTATGCGATAAAGAAAAATGAACTATGAATCTGTAGTATGGTCTTGCTTTCTAATAGAGCACGGCCAGCATTCTCACGTTTTTTCCGCCTTCCTTGGACAGATGTTGAAGTCATTAAACAATTATTTTAACACATCACAGCATCAGGGCTTCTAATTGAGACCTGTGTTAATTTTTCAAAACGTGGTACAAGGCCAGGCTAGTAAAGGGGACTACGCCTTAAATTATGATGGGCTTTTACAAAATTTTTACAGTATACATATTATTTTGAGTCCTGGAAGAATTAAGCTAAGAAGATGTATATGTTGCCATTATCCTGTGTACTTAAAATAAATAGGGTAAATAGATGCTCTGCATTTATGTGTGCATATAAACTTGAGGCCACCCCTGAAAAAGTGAGAGCACCAGTTGGGCCACCCCAGTCCAAGAAGTCTGGACACGCCCCTTATTTAAATCACATGGGGGTTTATGTTCTCTGGCTCGGTCTTAGCTCAACTAGTAGTAATCTTTGGAAATAAGAACAAAGACACTGCGTCGATGTTTGACTGCATGTTGTGACGTCAAATGTCAGCATGGCAGAAGGTTTTTTTTGTGAAAAGTGGAAAGCTCATATTTCTTTCACCTGTTGCGCCCTCTCATTAATAAAGCCAGTTTGTCATTGATGCTTCTCAGCAAGATGTCAAATACATAAATAGTCACAAAATAAAGCCTGTCTTTTTTCTGTGTCTAACCTTCCCTCTCCCCCAGGTGAACGGTCAGTCAGTCAACCTGCCGTTCTCGTTTGAAGACGGAAAACTTACCGCACACAAAGGGGGAAGGTTCGGCGTTGTGAAAACATCATTTGGTTTGACGCTCAGATTCGACTGGCGCAGTTACGTCAAGGTGACTCTCCCCAGCTCGTACAACGGGGAAACTGCCGGTGAGTCTGATGTGACTTGCTGAAAGCTTATGTTCTTGATTCAGATTGTTTTCTTGCTCCCAAACATCATCAGGAATGAGTATGAAGTATTTTCTTTATGTTTGACGCTGTTGTTTATCCTGTTTCTCTGTTCAGGTTTGTGTGGAAACTACAACGGAAAACCTGGCGACGACTTCACCAAATCTGACGGCACCCTGGCCAAAAATCCCAATCAGTTTGGTGACAGCTGGAAGGTTTGTGATGCTTTTGACTGAAGGGTGGATAAACAAAAGAGAAAAATATTCAGCCAAATACTGTAAAAAAAATTGAAAAATACAAAACAGGAGTCAGTAGCATTTGAATAAATAAAATGTATAGACTTAAACAACAGTAATCCAGCTCAGTCGTCACTTATGGGCCTCCATAGTTGGCTGTGGCTCAGTTGGTAGAGCCGGTTGCCTCTCAACTGAAGGGTCTGGGGTTTCATCCCCAGCTCCTGCAGCCACATGTCCGATGTTTCCCTGTGCAAGAAATGTAACCCCAAGTTGCTCCCTTTCATTCATCTATGGCCTATGAATGTGTATGAATTGGGTAAGCGAATACTGATGGACACTGTACAACACAGCCTCTGCCATCAGTGTGTGAATGTGTAGGTGTGACCGGCGGTGTAAAAGTGCTTTGACTAGTCAGAAGACTAGAAAAGAAATATACAAGCAGAAGTCCATTTTGTATACATATGAATGTCTGCAGTGACCCTGTGGTCTGCCGGATGTTTCTGTTGACTCGGGAACGTTTCTGAATGGGGAGTGGGTGTGTTTCCCCCAGCCAATGAAAGCGCCCTGCTGAATTTGGGAGCGAATACATTTTATTGGCTGGGCGAGATTCAGGCTGGACAAATACTGCAGAGCAATAGCGGCAAAGATGAGAATATATAATCATAGAGAGGGCGAAAAAACAAGTGGATAAAGCTCGTTCAAAAACAAGGGTGAACATTGGATTGGATTTCAGTTCGCCTTCTTGCTGTTGAACAGGCAGGTGCCAATCACCAAGGGTTAGCTTGTGCGAGCTTACTAAATTGTCTTTATACAAATGTAATATACGCAGAAGAGAGACGCCGTAGGTGACCCAATTTAACAAACATTTCCACTGACTCTACCTTTAACGATTAATGTCTTCGTTTTAGTTGGAAGGTTTCGCATGTTAGGAAGCACTTTAAACACCCCATTGTCAAGATCTGCACCTTTAAGAAAAAGCTAAAGACCCAGCTCTTTCATGAATACCTACTAACTTAATGATGATGGTCTCCATATTATTGATGATGATGATGGTAATGACGATGGTTTTTGTTTGATAACGACGACTTATAAGATGGTTTCTATACTGATTAGAGCTCTCGAGAACTGCCCTCAATGTTGTGCTTTGCCTCTGGTCACTTCCTGTCAGCACCTGTGTGTCCAATCAGACTCAAAGCTGATCGTTTGCTCTTACTGACATTGTTCCCTTTTTTAAAGATCCTTGCTTGTGTTGTACTTACTCAATGATGTACGTCGCTTTGGATAAAAGCGTCTGCTAAGTGAATTGTAGAATTGTAGAAGATTAAAAACCAAAACTTCAAACCAAAAGTCGATCGAAAGAATCTAAAAGACAAATTTCCCGCTGTACAACGTGAATACTGAAACTTGCTTTAATCATGTATTAAAACCAGTCTGGACCATTTTGGTTTCTACACACAATACCCTGAAACCATACCCACATCACTCCCAGCTTTATTTTCAGGAGGAAGCATTATTAGTGAACATGCACATGTTAATCTCCCCTTCAAACCCAAATCTGTAAACTACACTCTGTTGTACTGTGAAGATAGTTTACTCTACTGTGTATATCTGATTCCAGGCCGGAGGAGACGTGGGCTGCACCAGTGACTGCCCTGGAGGTAAATGTCCAGAGTGCGAACCTGCACTGGTACTTCGCTACCAGGAGGGGCGCTACTGTGGCATCATCTCTGACAAGGAAGGACCATTCGGGTGCGTACGTCTCCTGTGCTTCTTATGATTTAATTAATAACTAATGTTTTTGTTTTTAGAAGAAAAATAAACATAGTTGTGTAAAAGAAATGAAATATTATCACTTTAGTGATTTTGGACATGTTGTGGTTCTCTACCCGTTTAGTGTGGTTCTAAAGTTACTCGGTAACACTTTATAATAACCATCATCTATAAAAGGTAAATAAGGGTAAATACATAAGTTAATTAACCATTAGTTGATAGTTATTTACTGTTGAAACAATGAATAAACCATAAATCATTTCATAAACCATCTCTTAAAGGTTTATAAATCATTTGGTCATCATTAAGAAACACTTTATAAAGTGTATGAAATGTTATAATGTGTGCATCAATAAACTGTTAACATAACATAAATTATAGTATTACAAATCATTAGCAAACACTATTAACTAGAATTTCATTGTTTGTTAACAGTAAATAACTATTAACTAATGGTTAATTAACTATCTATTTACCCTTGTTTAGCCTTTATAGATGATGGTTATTATAAAGTGTTAGTGTGTTATAAAGCAGTTACTCTTGTATAATGGTATAAGGTCAACAACAGGGTCAGATTTAGCTTTAGAAACATCAACCGGATCAGATCACATTGTTATTTTTTCCAGGGCGATGGATTCCCATGGCCTCGCATATTTAACATTAAAGCCAGTAACCAATCAGCATAGGAGATGTTCTTCACGCCTGACAAACAACAAATGAAAGATCGGTGAATGAACTCTATATTTCGTCAACTACAGTTTGTCATCTCACCTTCGACTCTCTGTTTCTCTGCAGTCAGTGTCACAGCAAACTGGACCACAAGACCTTCCTCAACGACTGTGTCTTTGATATGTGTGCATACAAGGGCCACGCCTCCGCTCTGTGCAGCAGCCTATCAGCTTTCAGCACGTCTTGTCAGGCGGCGGGAGCTAAAATTGAGAGTTGGAGGACCAAAAAGTTCTGTCGTAAGACACACACACACACACACACACACACACACACACACACACACACATCTATTTCAGTCATCAGACCAAAAATGGCATTTAAAGGCTTTATATGTGATTTTTTTGATCCAGCAGATGTCACCCTTGAGCACCAGCATGAAACCAAAACAACTTGCGCTGCATTGTTGTGTTAGCATGCTAATGCTAGCGATCTTTATTATGCTCGTATCTTCACACTGCATGTAAATTTACCTGAAATGAGCGTGATCTAGAAACACAGTTAAGCAGTGAGTACAGTATGTTATTCTCCTTTTCTCTAGTCCCTCAATTAAACAACTTTTATACACGAGGGGAGGAGTCAGCCGGCCGTCCGGGCGATGTAAACAAAGTGAAGATAAGGCTCTGAAAAAACTCGGAAAGCATCACAGACAGACATTGTTATTTTCAGAATATATACTTGATTTCTATTATATTTAAGTGTGAAAAATCACATATAAAGCTTTTAATAAGAACTTAAATTGAAAAAGCAAAATGATGTCTGGACATTTAGAGATTTGTCAAAAGTGAACAGCGTCCATTTTGTCTGGTTGTAATCTTTGGATCTTTGGAGAACTCTGATATCTATTTTGATGCATATTTCCAACTTGTCACTTTTCATTTGTTTTACTTTTTCCCACTCAGTATTTAATTTGAAGGTGTCGCTGACTGTGTTTGTCTCCTTGCAGCTCTGCCATGTGGTGCAAACAGTCACTATGAGGTGTGTGCCTCCCCCTGCCAGCCCACCTGCAGCGGCCTCAGCCTACCTGATGACTGTGACGAAGACGACCCCTGCACAGAGGACTGTGTGTGTGACGACGGCTATATACTGAGCAACGACAAGTGTGTTCCTGTGGCCGAGTGCGGATGTCAAGACGGAGGGCAGTACTATCAGGATGGACAGGTAACACACCTGGGCAGAACACACACACCTCCCCTTTCATACCTGCAGATATATAACACACACACCTCCTCTGTGACACACGTGCAGATTTATAACACACACCTCCTCTGTGACACACCTCCTGATATATAACACACACACCTCCTCTCTAACACACCTGCACAGAACACACACACCTCCTCTGTGACACACCTGCAGATTTATAACATACACACCTCCTCTGTGACACACCTGCACACACATCAATCACTCTGCTCCCTGTACATCTTCCCTCGCTCACCTGTCTCTCTGTTCCCAGGTGTTCTACCGCGGACAGTCCTGTAACACTCAGTGTGTGTGTTCAGAAGGACAGATAAAGTGTGACGCCACCTTCCACTGTTCACAACACGAGAAGTGCGTTCTGAAAGACGGCGCCGTCTCCTGTCAACCCAAAAGTATTGGTTCCTGTTCGGTCAGCGGAGTCAGAAACATCCGCTCCTTCGATGGAAAGGTAGAGTACATTTTGTTCTACATGAGGTCAAAGCTGTCTGAATTGAAATAATAAATGTAAGCTGTGAGACGCTGACAGTAGACGTTATGACATACATCTGTCCCCTCCTGCAGGAGTATCCTCTGTTGGGAGACTGTCTCTTCACGCTGTCAGCGGTGCAGAAGAACGATGGGGGGAAGACGCCCTTCTCCGTGTTGGTGCAGCAGAAAACAGATAAAGACGGCTCTGTCACTCGCCGCGTTGAGGTTCAGGTGTATGACTCTGAAATCTCCATGGAGACAGGGGTCAATTGGGAAGTTAAGGTATGACATTTTGTATTTATTATGTATTTAAAGGCTTCATATGTGATTTTTCACACTTAAATATAATAGAAATCAAGTACTGTATATCCTCTGAAAATAACTCTGTGAGTCATGACTGTCTACAATGGGTGTAACACCCGAGTCCCGATGTCTGTAATTTTTTCCGAGTTTTCTGAGTCCTATCTTCAGTTTGTTTACATCGCCAAGATGGCCGGCCGACTCCTCCCCTCGCGTATAAAAGTTGTTTAATTGAGGGACTAGAGAAAAGAAGAATAACATACTGTACTCACTGCTTAACTGTGTTTCTAGATCACGCTCATTTCGGGTAAATTTACATGCAGTGTGAAGATATGAGCATAATAATGATCGCTAGCGTTAGCATGCTAACACAACAATGCACCGCGAGTTGTTTTGGTTTCATGCTGGTGCTCAAGGGCGACATCTGCTGGATCAAAAAATCGCATATAAAGGTTCAGTAGTGAAATGTTGGCAAAATATTTGTGCAATCTAGACGTTCCACCTCTTCTCCGAAGGGCTTCCTCAGTTTTAAACTATCTGGTGGATAAAGCTAGAAATGTAAGCCTCTGTGGATCATAGGCAGGCTGATGATCAAGGATAACTCACAGAGAGTCATTAGCTGAGTCATTAACACTCCCAGTCTCTGTGGGTCCTTGGGGTCACGTTCCAAGGTGGGACTGGGGCTTCACTTGTTTTAAGAGACAATTCAAAACAGCTCTGTTGGTTGGTGAAAGATGGTGCCTCAGACCACCACCCCCCTGGTACCTTCAGTCAGTTAGTTTAGAATTGAAGAAGCAGAGGAGAGGGGAAAGGTCTTCAAGGTCTTCAACCTGTCCAGCTGCCTTTGGATCAAGCTTCAAATTTACCAAATACGCCTGTTTGTGGCCGCATGAGTAAGTCGACCCCCAAAGCATTATCTAGGTGTGCTAATCCTACTTTGAGAAATCCTTTAGTATGATTTCAGTCGGACAAATGGCTTAATTTGTGTTTTGAAAGTCCAATTTTAGTCGACCAACACAATCAATTAACTTTTTTAACATCATGTAATTGAATGAGACAGGCCTCTGTAAAAATGCAGTCCAATCTGAGAAGGACCAAGACCAACCTTTAGTTCTACAACACAACATGGACAAACTTCAATGATCTGCCGTATTCCTTAGGATGGGAGGTGGAATATTTGAACAGCTCACCTGAAAATGGTTTTGTTTTTGTGTCTCAGGTCGATGACATCAAAGTCACCCTTCCCGTGTCACTGGCTAAGGAAAGGGTTCAAATACAACAAAACGGTGTCAACATCATTGTCGAAACTGACTTTGGGCTAAAGGTGACCTATGACACTCAGTCGGGTGTGGTCGTGCATCTCCCGTCGACCTATCACAGCGCAACCAGTGGCCTCTGCGGGAACTACAACGGCGACGTGTCTGACGACCTGGTGGGGGAGATCGGAAATCCGGAGGACACAGCTGCGGCCTCAGTTGTTGAGGAGGACGAAGACGTCAAGTGTGACACAAGCTGTCGGGACACTTCCTGTCCTGAGACTGATAAACAGACGGACCCTGACGCTGAGAAAAACTGTGACATCATCAAATCAGCACAGGGCCCATTTGAAGGATGCCACTCTACAGTAAAACCTACTCCGTACTATGATGCCTGCATCAGGTAAGGAAGTACTCCTAACTAGACTGTGTAAACAATGATCAAACATATTAAAGGTGACATATCCTCCTCCTCTTCAACCAGTTTAAATAAGTCTCAGAGCTCCACAAAACATGTGTGTGAAGTTTCTTGTTCTAAATCCACTCTGATCCTGTATTTGATCATGTCTATAAACCCCTCTATGTCAGCCCTGCTCAGAACAGGCTGTTTCTGTGTCTGTACCTTTAAATATGTAAATGAGCTGTGACTGACCACACCCCCTCTCTGGAAGGGCTTGGGTGGCTTGGGGTGTCTTGCTCCATGCCGTATTGTTTACGGTGAGAAGGCAGACTCAGAGGGCAGAACAAACACCTAGCTGTGGGAGTGTCACCCACCTGGGAGAGGGGCTACTGCCCTTTGTGATGTCATGAAGGGAAAATCTCCAAACGGCCTGTTTGAGCACACATTTTCTGAAAAGTGGAGCAGGCACAAGACGCAGAGGATGGACTTTTCTTATAATTGTTGGCTTTGTACAGACAGACTAGAGACAGATTTTAGAGTTAGAAAAACATGAAGTGTATTTTCCATAATATGTGACCTTTAAAATAATAACTTCTTGAATGACTGGCTAATGCCAGAAACAAGAATATATATGTCCAATTTTTTAATGAAACAATCCCACCAACACCAAAAACACGGCCCAGAGGTTTAAATTCAGTGACTTAATTAGCTGAATTGACACCTAGCAGAGGCCACGCCCCTTATTGTGCATAACTGTAAGCTTTAATATAATTTATTCAGGTTAGTTATATAAAAACTCAGCCCGGACAGTTTTCATTAATAAAGGAATTAGCTAAAGAGACCAAATCTGTTATTTTGAACCAGGATGCAAACACACTCTATGGGGATTGACCCACTTTTGAAGAGAGCCTCAAGTGGACACTGGAGGAACTGCATTTCTTGGGACTTCTGTTTTCTGCGTCATTTTTCAACACCAGAGGGCGTCACTTGGTCCCTGTCTGGAAAAATTAGATCCAAGTTAAACCAGATCGATGATTTATTTTGAGTTCCGATGTTGAGATTCTGTTGTGTGTTCATCTTTTTCAGGGAGATGACGTCACGCAAAGGGGACAACGTCCTCCTGTGCAGTCACATCCAGAGTTACGTCACCGCCTGTCAGCTCGCCGGTGCAAAGATAAAGGAGTGGAGGAGTGACAAGTTCTGTCGTAAGTCTGATTTCTTTTCTGCTGCTGAATGTGGATGAACTCATCTGGATTTGATTTATTAGGACTGCACAGTTAATCTAAATATTACAACAAAAACTGCAACACATCACAGAAAGTACAGATGTTGGATGTATGAAAAGTGCATGATTAAAAACAACAGAACAATGAAGAACTTTAGAGCTGCAGAGATACCCTGACCTTAAAATGTTTTTTTCTAGAAGCAACCATAAAAAGTAATTAAGGTAGTTAGCTGGTGGCACAGTGGTTAGTGCGCCACCAGTCTTCCAATCAGGCGGCCCAGGTTCAAATCCAACCTGTCGTTCCTTTCACATGTCATTCCCTGTTGTCTCTCTCCCAATTTTTGACTCCATCCACTACCCTATCTCTCTATTAAAGGCACAAAAAGCCCCAAAATAAATCTAAAAAAAAATAAGCTACTTAAATACTTCATGTTTAAAAATTTGAATTTTTTAATCATCCATCGTATTGAAAAGTACAGAAGCTTTAAAAATGTAATAGCTTCAGTCATGTTTTTAACCAAAAGCCACTGCAGGAGAAGGAGCATTGTCTTAAATTGCACAAATATGTTGGCAACACTTCAGTACTGAAATAATCTCAATGCATCTGTGCAATTTAGACAGTTTGCTGCAACTTCTGGTAATGAAAAACAAGGAATTACCCTGCATTGAGTGATTGGATTTTCTATTTTTGATGCTTTGGTATCGAACCAGGTATAACTCCAGAATCACTCCTGATATTTCCAGCAAGAGCTGCATGTGTGAACGCAAACAGACACATTTTTCACCCGGAGTTTCTCCCGGGGACAAGAACTACAAAATAAAACAGGAAACAGTAAAGACACATAGAGATCTTAAGTATGTAACAGAAAAAATACACACAGGAGAAAAATAAAACATGAAGATAAGAAATGACAAAATAAAACAGGAAACACTGAAGACTAAACTTGGAATAAATAAAGCAACAACAGGTCAAATTTTTTCAGTTCTGAGTCTCTGTGTCTGGTTTTGTCCCTGCAGCATTGAAGTGTCCCGCTGGTAGTCACTATGAGCTGTGTGCCTCCTCCTGGCCCTCCACCTGCTCCTCCCTGCAGAGCTCAGCTCCCACCCCAGCTTGTCAAGAGGGTTGCCAGTGTGACGACGGCCTCATGTCCGACGGAGCCAACTGTGTGTCTGTGGAGAAGTGTGGCTGTGTGGTGGATGGACAGTATTATAAAGTAAGAACCATCATCTTAGTGGAGTTTCTTTATCTGTTGAATTTAAAGATGGCTGTGTTAAAGGAGGTCAATCAAGTACCAAACTACTGACATGCCTGATCCAGGAATGACCTGGCTTTGACGCGCGTTGCCACTGACGTGTTTCAACAAACGATTGGCCCCCTAGACCGGATTGCAGTTAAAACACTTTCCATATTAATCCAAAGGCACAACGTGGTCAATAAGAGTCCAAAAAAATGCCAAACAAACAAAACCTTACAGTGACAGACATCCTCGCTCTCAAGCAGTCAAAAACCTTTTGACAGAGTGCAGAATTTTGCTGGCAATTTTTGGTAATTTAAGAAAAAGGATTAACACATATTGGGTGCATTGGACATCTAATGTTGTTGCCATGGTAATGAAACAGGTATTGATGGTTTGACTTTTGAATCAAAGTTTAAAACTCTGTCACTGTGACAACCCTAGTCTGCAAAACATTGGGAATAAATTTGTGTTGTGACCTCGTGCTAAGACAATATTTCTATAAGCACTTTCAGAGGACGAGATTTGATCGTGCACATTTTCTACAAAGAATAATTACAGCTGGTCTCATTACTGAAGGCTGAAGCCATCTACTCGAGTGACTTTTGTACCTATTTGACCCCGAAAAACTGCAACAAAAAGTTCCCACATTTAACGAACATTATGACCCTTTAAGGCACAAAAACCAAACCAAATGCTTTGTTTGCATAACCTAGCGTATGTCTCAACGTATCAGTGGCCATTGATTGTTTCTTTTCTAATGCTTGTGGGACTCTTTTCAGTCGGGCTCATCAGTAAGAGCAGGCGACTGTTCAGAGATCTGTTCCTGTGAGGCCGGAGAGTTCAGCTGTAAAGCCTCAAGCTGCCAGCAGGGGGAGGATTGTCGCAACAAGGACGGAGTCACTGGCTGCTTCCCGAAAGGTCAAATGCTCACTGAGTGATTTTTCTCCTTTCTGCTCTTCTCTAAAGTGTTTCCATCTCTACCTGTATGTCTCTTTGTTTCCATCCTGATTTAGGAGTCATACTGTATCTATTTGTGGAAACTTTTAGAACCAAATTCCTGCATAATGTGTGTGTGTGTGTGTGTGTGTGTGTGTGTGTGTGTTTCAGACCCCTGTGCAAAGACCAATTGCAGGGTGAAGGAGCGCTGCGAGGTGGAAGAGGGTCAGGGAGTGTGTGTGCCGGAGTCTCGCGCAATCTGCTGGGGATCTGGGGACCCTCACTACAGGACATTCGACGCCAAGAGTTACTCATTCCAAGGAACCTGCAGCTACGTCCTCGTCAACACCACAGGTGTGATTTTAACTGACAGTGAAAATGTCAATACTTTTTCGTTGCACATATTTTAAATGTTAAAATCCTTGTTATTTTACAAAAAACATTAGCAACATTTCTGTAATCCCCCTTTGTACGATTATTAAAAAGAACAGAGACACAGGGTTGGGGCGGCAGTAGCTCAGTCTGTAGGGACTTGGGTTGGGAACCGGAGGGTCGTCGGCTCAAGTCCCGGTGCGGACCAAGCATGGAAGTTGGCTTGGAGAGGTGCCAGATCACCTCCTGAGCACTGCCGAGGTGCCCTTGAGCAAGGCACCAAACCCCCTCCCCATCACCAGCTCCGGAACACCCACTGTGGGCTGCTCCATCACTCTGTCATCTCTCCCTTAATGCATGTCCATAGGATCCTGTTTGTGTGCATGTGTGTATATACTTCAGCCTATGTGTGTGTGAGTGTAAAAACTGAAGGTTCCCCTTCAATCAATAAAAAGTAAATCTTAAAAAAAATCAATGTTTGTGAACATAAATTATTCTGAACCCTCAGGAGCTGATTCATCCCTGCCAGCGGTAACGGTGACCGTGAAGAACGAGCTGCGAGGGAACTCTGAGGGCTCCTTTGTGCAGTCATTCACTGTGGAGATGTTGGGCCACAGTATTTACATCCCCAGTGGTCCAGAAGATATCGTAGTGGTGGGTTATACTAGAGAGTATGTCAGCAAATACAAATATTAAGGCTACCATTTTGTGCTAATGTAACCCTCAGGGGGGTCATCTTAAATGTTGTAATATAGTGAAGTCAATATACTGTTGACACATTGTTAGCAACGATACTGTAAGTAAAGAATTTAAACCGTTTCTACGACATCGTCACTTTCCACATCCGGCTAGATAACATAGCTAAATTACCATCATCAAGGGCAATAGGAAATTAGTCTGACAAAAAGTAAGCATGCTAGCTTATCTCTCTTTCTAACCAGCAAGGAAAATACAATTAGCCTTAAATTAATTCAAACAAGAGCATGGTAGCCTATATTAGCTAGTTTATACTAGCTTACTTGTTTAAACTGGTTCATAAGTTAGCTAGTTAAAGGCTTTAAATGTCATTTTTGACACTTAAAAATGTGATTTTTCACACTTAAATATAATAGAAATCAAGTATTTCCTCTGAAAATAGGATAAAATAAGTGAGTCATGACTGTCTGCAATGGGTGTAACACCTGAGTCCCACTGTCTGTGATGCTTTCCGAGTTTTTTTGAGTCAGTTTACATCGCCGGGACGGCCAGCCAGCTCATCCCCTCGCGTATAAAAGTTGTTTAATTGAGGGACTACAGAAAAGAAGAATAACATACTGTACTCACTGCTTAACTGTGTTTCTAGATCACGTTTATTTCAGGTAAATTTACATGCAGTGTGAAGATACCAGCATAATAAAGATCGCTAGCATTAGCATGCTAACACAACAATGCAGCGCAAGTTGTTTTGGTTTCATGCTGGTGCTCAAGGGTGACATCTGCTGGATCAAAAAATCGCTCATAAAGCCTTTAATAATAGAAATTATTTCTAAGCGGTCAGCATATTAGCTAGTTTGTTTCTTAGCTAACATAGTTTATCTTACATGTTTTTAGCCAAGATTTATTTTTTTATTTTTTCATTGAGACTATCACACATTAGCTGTAGAATATTTTCTATTACTAAAAATTTGGTTACAGATGATTCTGTAATCAATGATCTTTGATTGATTTTTCCGACTCCCTGTGATTACAGGTTGCAGTTGTAACACAGCCCTCTAAAATGAACCCTGGAAGAACAGCATTGAGCATCCCACCCTAAGTGTGATGTCAGAGTAAAATGAAAACTGTAAGAATGGTGAATAACTGTAATGTCCCCCTGTAGGTGGATGGTATTAGGGAAGAACTTCCCATCGAGCTTGATGTAGGAGCCATCTCCATAACACAAAGTGGAATAAGAGGAACAATCGAGACTCAAATTGGTGTGGAGGTCAGTTTTGATTGGTCTAGTTTCGTCTCGGTTATCCTCAGCAGCAGTTACTTTGGTAACGTTGCTGGGCTCTGTGGCAACTACAATGGTGACATGGAGGACGAATTGACCACCGCTGGAGGCAAGATTGCTGCTAATGTGACATCTTGGGCGGCGTCATGGAGCATCCCTGATGGAGACCGGTTCTGTTACCATCACTGTCAGGGGAAGTGTCCTCAGTGCTCCGAGGAAGACCGCAAGAAGTAAAGTCACAAAATGTTTAAATGTTTAAAACTTAAGAGTACCACAGCCCAATTTGAAATGCAGAATCACTCTGGGGTCTCCTCAATTTTTAGCTTTATCTTCATTCATGTCTGTCATGAGAGGGGCCACGGGATGAGAAGGTTTGTTAAGAATGACAGTGTTTTGAGTCGATCAAAATTACAGTACATTGAGACCAACCAGATGCAGCTAAAGCTAGTCTTTTTGAAGCCTACTAAATTACAGTGGCAGATTATTCCAAAGGAGTCTGGACTGATAACTGAAAGCTCGACCTCCCATACTACCGTAAAAGACGATAGGTACCACAGGCAGACCTGCATTCTGGGAGCAGAATTTTCTAGAGGGGTAATACAGCACAATTAGCGCTTTAAGATATGATGGTGTCTGACCATTAAGAGCTTGTCGATGAGGAATCCCGATTTTATAAGGACCTGTGCAGAGAATCTAATACAGAAATGTCTTTAGAGACTTAATTGGGCAGCCCGATTAAGGGAATTGTATTAATCCAAGCTAGAATTAACAAAGGCATTGATTAGTTTTTCTGCATCGTTTTGAGACATAATGTGCGGACATAAGGCTCTCCTTGAAAAGTGTTGTATATGGAAGTTGAAGGACATAAACTGATCTAATACAACTCCCAGATTCCAAACACATGTGGTGCTACATGCCAGGCTGATGTCATCTCAGACAGTTACATCATTAGACAATGTCCCTCTGAGTTGTTTGATGCCAATAACTGTAACTTCAATTTTGTTTGAATTAAGCAACAAAATAATTCTAGTCATCCAGGTCCTTAAGGCATGCATCTAGTTTAGCTAGCTAATTGGTTTCATCTGGCTTCATTGATAAGAATAACTGAGTATCATCTGCATAGCAGGTTACCTAGAGGAAGCATATATAAGGTGAAAAGACTCTGCCCGAGTACAGGACCTTGTGGAATTCCATGACTAAATTGAATGTGCATGTACAAACTGAGATCCACAGATATACAGATGAATAGTATAATTAACATAAAATGCATGTGGCATTAAGTCGAAAGTCTTAAAACAACTACTTGAAAAACGAAAAATCTGAAGTGAATGACTTACTGTTGACAGAGGACCGTGAAATGCTGATGTTTGAATCTTGATTTCTTTTTGTGAACTAGCTCTTTTACTAATCATTTGAAGAAGCAGTAACTTTCAGTTCAGCTCAGAAATGTTTTACTTTTCCATTGTGAAGAAACTAGCAACCTTTTAATACAATTTGTAATACCATCCCTAGAGCCATTTTAATTGTTGCTGTTTTCATGACCATAGCCATTTTGTGACCATAGCCTAAAAATGTTACATTTCTCACTGCACTCTTTCAGGTACCTTGGGCCACAGTTCTGTGGGTTCCTGAGTAATAAGAACGGACCGTTCGCTAGCTGTCACGCTAAGGTTTCAGTTGAAGAGTTTGTGTCTGACTGTCTCTACGACGTCTGCATCAATGAAGGACGACAAAAGGTGCTGTGTGAGGCTCTGAGCACCTACATGGCAGAGTGCCAGGAAAATGAAGCATCAGTAGCGCCATGGAGACAACTGGCAGGCTGTCGTAAGTTAGATGTATTATGTTTTACACAACATAAACAACGCATAATAAGATGTGAATGTTGCTACCTTGATCTCGCCCTGAGATCCGGCCTACTGTTTTTAAGTCTATGTCGTTCATTTTGGCCATTGCCATGTTGTTCCTTTGAAGCGAGTAATGACCGTATTTGGATCAGACGCTGGTTAGAAAACGATTTGTGAGAACCTCCAGTTTTTCAACTTGGGAGTAATTTTGGCAACAACGGGAAAAGTGTAGTTGAAATTTAAAAACTTTTTTGACCAATTAAGTCTCAGCATCTGTGTATGCAGGACAAACTGTTTATGGAAAGTAAAAACAGGCAGAATACAATCAGAAAATTGTATTTCTATAAATGGAAATGCACGTAGGAGCAGCAGCTAACAGCCTGTTGTAGATCAAACATTTACACTTAAGACACAAATCAGCTTGAGGGTATGTTTGACAGTCAATCAGCATTTAGATTTCCAAAATTCCTTGAGAAACGATCCAACCTGCATGCAACAAGCATTTAACATAAAATTAATCTTCTACTCTTGAGGAGAGAACCGGACAAAGCTTGACTTTAGCATTTTTACAAATCTGCATCAAGATGTTATTTCAGCAAATTAAAGCTCTATTAATGCAAATAAATCCCATTTACAGTTAAAGTAAGACTTGCTAGAAACAGTTGAAACCGCGCTCCTTTGGGGGATGTAATGAACCAGGAGTTTATTTTGCAGACAAATCCGGAGGGTGAAGTTCTCCTTGCTTTTGATCGTAACACAAAGTTGCTTCGTAAGTTGATAATTTGACTGTAAACAATGCAGAGCACAGAAAAGGAAGTCAACTAAATGAACATCCTGCTAAACTGAAAAAGACTTGAAACTAGAGGCTGAGACCATAAACTGAAATTTTACTGATAAGTACAACCATTTTCTCAAAAACTTCTATACAATCCGACTTAATTTTGCAACCAGTGGAGTTGCCCCCTACTGGACATTATAAAGAATGCAGGTTTAAGATACTTCAGCTTTAGTTACACCTTTCAGACCTGCAGGTTACGTTCACTTACTTGCAGTCTTTGTTCCAACCAATAACATGACCTCCCCTCTGTTATTCCTCCAGCTGCTCCGTGTCCTGAAAACAGTCACTACAAGCCGTGCGGCTCAGCGTGTCCGCCCGGCTGTGGACCTCAGCCTGAGTTCTGCACTAAGATCTGTGTGGAGGGCTGTTTCTGTGACGAAGGATATGTGAAAAGTGGAACAGAGTAAGTGTACGACACCAATGTAGATAGTATAAAGAATCCAGTGTAGCGTAATTAATTTATTAAGATGTTATTTCCTAATTATTCCTCGGGCACCATCCTTAAAAGTAAGGAAATTAATATTACTTGTAGTAATTAATTAATCAATCAATTTCATATCAGAAGAGTAAGTTCTTGAGATGTTTAAACCATTAAACAATTATAACGTATATGACACCATGATACGATATCTTGGAATTTTAGTTCTTAATTCTTATGGTGAAATTTATGTTTAGTAAAGATATTAGACACGGTACTGTTTTGAATGACTTAATCAGCAAATGATCAAAGGGGGAAAAAGTTGATAAATTATTATTATTATTATTATTATTATTATTATTATTATTAGGAAATTGTAGATTGATAGCGCTGGCTTTCTCACTTGACGACCTATTTGTCTGTTGAACTGTTGTTACTGACATGTGAATGTAACTGTTTGAATGCTGTAGTGATGTGTTTGTTTCCTTTTATGTTGTCTTTGCGTTTTTCAATGGCTCGGTAGGTTGTGAAACGGAATTGCCCTTCTGGGATAAATAAAGTTTTCTGAATCTGAATCTGAATCTGAATGAATTTTGGGATTAAATTTGGACTCGGATTCTGAATGCGACACGACCAATCTGATCTCTCAACACCCGCTGCCAAATTGATTTTATTGTTTTCTACAAGCATGCAATTTCAGTGGTACCAGGACATATCCATCAGCAAAGTGAGGAAAGCCCCCATGTGGTTTATTCTCTTGGCTGGATGATAGTGCAGTGATGGTTTGCAGATTTCTAAAAAGAAAACCAAAAATGTAAACAATGAAGTATGACTTGCAACCTCTCATTATTTCACCTGGGATGAGTTATTTCACTGCCCTCCTGTCCGCCAGGTGTGTGACCAAGGAGAAGGGCTGCGGCTGTGAACATAACGGACATTATTACAAGCCAGATGAGGAGTTCTGGGGCGACTCTGAATGCAACGACAAGTGCGTGTGTGACGCAGCAACAAAACAGGTGAAGTGTAAGTCAGTGGGATGTCAGGCCGGAGAGATGTGCAGCGTCGTAGACGGAGTCCGGGACTGTTATCCAATCAGCTTTAAGACGTGCACAGCACGCGGAGACCCACACTACTCCTCCTTCGATGGACGCAAGTTTGACTTCCAGGGAAACTGTGTCTACAAGCTGGCCGGTGTGTGTGGAGACACTAAAGGACTGAAGGACTTTGAGGTGAGCAGCAGAGAGACAGTCAGTGATGTTTTCTTCTTTTTTTTTTCTTTTCTTTTTTTGGGCTTTATTGGAGGGAAAGGAGAGTGGATAGAGTCGGAAATCAGAGAGAGAGTAGGGAATGACATGCGGCAAAGGAGCCACAGGTCGGAAATGAACCCGGACCGCCCGCTTGGAGAACTACAGCCTCCATACATGGGGCGCACGCTCTAACCACTGCGCCGCCAGCGCCCCAACAGTCAGTGATGTTTGACTCGAAAACAAAACATGTCAGATGTGAAGTCCTTTCAGATTTATACAGTTGTTCCTCGAACACACAAGGCTGGTTTGTGATGAGGTTTAGCAGTTGGGATGTATAACGCTTATCCCTTTGGGGTCGCAGGTATGCTGGAGCCAATCACAGCTGTAATTGTTTGGTAGGCAGTGCTCTACCTCGCTCACAGGACTGACACTCAGATATAACTTGGCAACTGGAGACATTTTTAGTCCAGTTAGTTTCACCTCAGCTGTAAGCCAGAGAGCTAAGTTAATGGTGTCAAGATTCAGAGTGGATAACAATGTGTAGAGTTTACATACAGTGAACACAATGTAACAAGAAGACTGGCAGAAAACATTTCGTTTAGCCAGCCTGAGTTCACAGGAGCAGAGTAACTCCTGCTGCTTGTGTGCTACAGTTTACAGACTGATGTGGCCAGCATTACATGTTTAACTCTTTATCATCCCAGTGTAGTTGTTTCATGAATGTGTCCTCCTCTCTTCTGTCCATCAATCATCCCTGCTCTTAGTTATGTATTTTTTGATTGTAGGTAACTCTGGAGAACAACAACCGCGGCAACAAAAAAGTGTCCTACGCCAAAGTGGTGACACTTAATGTCTTCGGCAAAAAGTTCACACTCTCACAGGAAAACAAAGGCAAAGTGATGGTGAGAAACATGCGAATACACACACACACACACACACACACACACACACACACACACACACACACACACACACACAATGGGTTTTAAAGGGTCAGCCTACATATATGATGAGGCTTGAAAAAGTGCACAGCCATTGATGAACATATTCATAACATTTTTGGAGTTAGCATCCCTTTTAGGTTAGGAACAGTATATATGGACTACAGTTTATCTGGTTGGTGGCAATTTTACAAAAATTAACATTGAATCAAAGGAGTTCTCCTGTTTTCAAAATTGAGACGCTTCACACGCTTTCATTTCATTGCACCTCCATTTTTATCATCTCTTCTTGTTGCTTCCACCACCAGTCTTTTTTTTCAACCAAAAAAGTTGACAATGAAAATGAAAATGGCGTTTATATTTCTTCCCTAGAGCCGTCACTTCACCCATGTCTCCTCTCACACTGTCTGTGTTTCCCCCTTCACCTTGATCCGCCTCTCTCCCTCTCTGAACAAAACTCAAATAACAAACCAAAATGCATTTTAAAGCATGTCTGTGTGTGTGTGTGTGTGTTTTCCACAGGTGGATGGAGTGATAGAATCTCTGCCACTCCTGTGGAATAAATCACAGGTGCAGGTTCATCGCAGACACAGAGAGGCCGTCATCGAAACACACTTTTTAAAGGTATTTATGAGCACACACACACGATTTATTCAGTTTGTTGAAGAGGCTGAAATGTGTGTTTACCTGCACGCTCGTCATGAGACGTCTTGTTTGTGTGTCGTGATGATGTTGCAGAATGACTTTGAATCGGGCAAATGGCATCATAAAATAAAAAAATCTGATTAATAGCAGGTGTGTGGCAGGTTTGGTCTTTTTTAAAGAGAGGACGGTGGATAGAGTCAAAAATCAGAGAGAATACATTTTTCTTTGACTCTTTGAAATGCACAACATAACACGCAAAGCAGTCATAGATGGCAATTACATTTTTGTGTTCCAAGCTCTCTTTAACAAAGCAAAAAAAATAAAAAATAAATAAACAATAATAATGATAATAATAATAATGATAATAATAATAATAATAATAAATTAATTAATAAACACTCCTTCATGTTACAGGTCTCCTTTGACTATGTGAGTTCAGTGAGGGTGGAGCTGGCTTCTACCTATAAAAATGCAGCCTGTGGTCTTTGTGGAAACATGAACGGAGACCCAGCGGACGACCTGATGCTGCCCGACGGGAAGCAGGCCGACAACGCCACGGTGTTTGGAGTGAGCCATTGGGTGGCTGATGTGGAGGGATGCTCTCATGAGTGTAAGAAGCTCATTGGCTCTCACTTTTACTTGTCATTTAATTTTGAATCTAAATCTAGATTTTAAATGTAAATTGCTGTGCATCACCCTGCATTCATGTGGTGTTGGAAACATCGGAAAAACGAGTTTCAGAGCAGGACAGTAGACATTAAAATGTCTGATGGATATCTTCTTTCATATAAAGATAAAGATAAAGATAAAGATAAAGATAAAGATAAACTTTAATGATCCCCGTGGGGGAAATTTGTGCATTACAGCAGCTCCAGAAAACAGGGGACGGGAATATACTTATTAAAAATAAAAATAGAAGTTAAAAACAGATCAAACATATTTACATCATTTAAATAAAAAATAAAAAATAAAAATACAATAATGTAAAATTACACAGTAACTTGTTCTTAAAAAAACACACACAGTGTGTAGCATGAGGTGGTGATGTTGTTAAAGAATCCGATTAAACAGTCTGACGGCAGATGGGATGAACGACCTGCGGTAGCACTCTGTCTTGCAGGGTGGGTGTCTGAGTCTGCTGCTGAAGGAGCTGCTCAGGGCCCCCACAGTGTCATGCAGGGGGTGAGAGGGGTTGTCTATGATGGATGTCAGCTTCACTAACATCCTCCTCTCACCCACCTCCTCTACAGAGTCCAGAGAACAGTCCAAGACAGAACTGGCCCTCCTGACCAGTCTGTTCAGTCTCTTCCTGTCTCTCTCTGTGCTCCCTCCTCCCCAGCAGACCACTGCATAGAAAAGTGCAGACACCACCACAGTGTCATAAAAAGTCTGTCGCAGAGTCCTGCACACTCCAAAGTCGACATTGGCCCTTCTTGTACAGGACGACGGTTTTGTGTGACCAGTCCAGTTTATTGTTGAGGTGAACATCCAGGTATTTGTACATCTCCACCCTCTCGATGTCCAAGCCCTGGATGTTCACCGGTGCAGTCTGGGGTGACATCCTGCGGAAGTCAATCACCATCTCCTTTGTCTTGCTGGCGTTGAGCTGAAGGTTGTTGAGCTCACTCCAGTCAACAAAGTCCATGATGACCTACCTGTACTCCTGTTTGCCTGTACTCCTGTTTGCTCCCCTTGGACACACACATATAAAAACAAATAAATCAATGATAATGCTGCTGATGCTTTTTGTGTTTCCAGGTAAAGACTGTCCTCCACCCCTCCCCGCTGACGACAAACTGCCCGACTACACTAAGGCGTGTGACGTGATAACGGCAAATGACGGACCCCTGGCTGAATGTTCAGAGCTCCTGGATTCCAAACAGTACCACCAAGACTGTGTCTACGACATTTATCTAAATGAAGGCAAACAGGAGGCAGCCTGTGACATCATCAGAGACTACGTGGAGGAGTGTCAGAGGAAACAAGGCAACGTCAAACCGTGGAGGACGGAGAACTTCTGCCGTGAGTGTTTTCAATTACGTTTTCTCACTTTTATGACGATTGTTTCTTGATTGTTATCGATTTTGGTTGTAAAAAATAAATAAATCAATACCACTCATTCTAAAACAATACAAACCCTGTTTATTTTAAGTTCAATAGAAAGAAAAGTAGTAAAGCTTCATAAAAAAAGAAAAAAACGCTGCAAAAAAAAGACAGAGCCACAGCAGACAAGTGACAGAGAAAAAAAGATGAAAAAAAACAAAGAAACAGAAGAATGAAGACGTCCTGTTGTTTCACAGTCTTGAGACTCTTAAAGTCATATTGACACCCTGCACACAAATTCACAATCCTTCAGAAAGGAGCTGGGTTTTGTTTAACTTAAAGGCTTTATGTGCGCACTATGTATAACTTAAAGGCTTTTTTCCCTTGAGCACCAGCATGAAACCAAAACAACTCGCGCTGCATTGTTGTGTTAGCATGCTAATGCTAGCGATCTTTATTATGCTCCTATCTTCACACTGCATGTAAATTTACCTGAAATGAGCGTGATCTAGAAACACAGTTAAGCAGTGAGTACAATATGTTATTCTTCTTTTCTCTAGTCCCTCAATTAAACAACTTTTACACACAAAGGGAGGACCCTAACCCGGGCGATGTAAACAAAGTGAAGATAGGACTCTGAAAACATCACAGACAGTGGGACTCTGACATTGTAGACCAGGGGTGCCCAACCTTTTTTGAACCAAGATCTACTTTTAAAGTTGCCAGTCTGCCGAGATCTACCAGTCCACATAGTGAGCCATAGCCTTTACCGACAGCCTACAAACGCATTTAATACTCAAACAACAAACAGAAAATAATATCAGATATAATAAATGAGAGTTCTGTAAAAAATAATGCAATATCGACTTTTTTAAAAACTCTTATTTTAGGGTAGGCTACATTTTAATATTACGTTTGTATTTATATCACATATGTTTTTCCCTTAATTTTGTTTACAACAAACAACTTTAATCTGTGTGGAGATGTTCACAGACTACAGCAGGCTGCTGTGAGATGATGTTGCTTTTGTTAAATTAGCTGCAGACACGGTGAGAGTGAACAGAGTAAAGTCCAACCGACCGTTTGACCGGGTCACGTGTGTTCCCGCCTCGGTCCGTAAAGATCACAGATCAACTGTGTGCTGTAGCACTAAAAGTAAAAAGTAAAAAGGTTCGTGTGGTGGCTGGCGCTCCAGTGCAAGTGTGTGTGTATGTGTGTGCGTTTGCGCTGTATGTTGGTGTGCCCCGCGATGCTCACAGTCATGACAGCAGAGAGGAGCAGAGAAAAGTAGCTGCAGCTACATCAAATGCGCTTAATACTCGTAGCATAGTTTCTATATATGACTTTTTGGTAAAACATTTACCCCCCCGGTTTTACCTGCACGTCATTGCGCATGCCTGCACTCTCTCTTGCGCGCGCGCTCTCTCTCTCGCTCCCCCGCTCGCTCTCTCGCTCCCCCGCTCGCTCTCTCATGCACGCAAGCAATTTCATGAATAAATGAAAAATTAAATACAAACAGGTCGGAAGTATACTTGGGCTCCCAACACAGGTATCGTGTGTGGGAAACAGTGCAATGAGATGAAATTGAAATCACTTTTCTATTTTACAATTGTATTTTATATTGACTAAACATCTCGATCGACTGAGAATCAGTCAGCGATCTACCTGTCAATCGTGATCAACTGTTTGGGCACCCCTGTTGTAGACAGTCATGACTCACAGAGTTATTTTCAGTGGATATACTTGATTTCTATTACATTTAGGTGTGAAAAATCACAGATAAAGCCTTTAAGTTAAAATGTGGGAATCATGGCAATTCTTACTGGATGTTTCTGTAGATAAAACAACAAACTTCTTCTGCTCCAAACTTCTGAAAAGGTGTACTAAACGTGTTTTCCGGACTCCATTCTTTCATGATTAATTATTTTTTGTGTCTGTAATGTATTTAATATTATGTGTGTTTGTGTGTGTGTGTGTGTGTGTGTGTCTGTCAGCGATGGACTGTCAAGCCAATAGTGATTACAGTCTCAGTGCTCCTGGCTGTCCAATCACCTGCGACTCCTTATCTCTACGTGCCAACTGTAAAGTCGCACCAAGTGAGGGCTGTGTGTGTCAACATGGATACGTGCTGAATAAGGTAATATCCTCATCCATGCCCCGCCCACTGAAATAAACTGACTAGATTAAATTGATCACTTAAGACATAAATCAGCACAATATGAACTTACTATAATGACAGGATTGTTTGAGAAACATTTATTTGACGTGTGTTTGAATCACACATTCCTGATTTAATTTTCCTGACTGTTGAATCGTTTCCTCTGCAGGATCGCTGTGTGAAACTGGCTGAATGTGGCTGTTTCCTTGGTGATCATTACCTCGAGAACGGTGAGGGGCACTACGACGATCACTGCGGTTTATACTGTGAGTGTTTGCACGGGATAAGGATATGCGCACTAAAACCCTGCGGCCCCCAACAGAAATGTGGTGTGGTGAACGGAGTGAGGGGCTGCTACTAATCAGGGAGTCATCAAATCAAGTTATTTAGGAGAGAGCAGGATATTGATTTTACCGAGTGTTTAACACAAAGCCTTTACCATTACTAGAGAAACTCTTGATGATTCTTACCTTGTTATAACTCACAGTAAAAAATCACAGTAATCATCTTTCCCTATGATTTTTCCTTCCATGCACACATTTATCTGCAGTGAACTGTACAATCAATCTTTACTAATCAAGTATTTCTAATGATCATTAAAAATATTTCAGCAACATGATGGTCTGTTGTGTCTTTTTTTTAATGTACAAATGACAGTTATTGGCGACATTAAATGTATAAGCAAAAATCATGATAAGTCTTCAATCGCTGTTTATGGGGGCCCTTAAATTAGATGCAAAGGTGTTACACAAAAGCATGTTTATAGACATTTCTACATAGAGATATATGATCATCATGAGGAGAAAGCGAGGAGCATGTGAAGATGTGGAAAAGTAACATGGTATATTCTACGTATGTTTGACTGCATTTTAGAGGTGTACAGTTTCACAATTTGTAAACCTGATTTGATAGGGCGAAGCGTTTATTTACACCTTAAAAAAAATATACATACCGGATGATCTGATAATGCTGGGTGTAACTGCACCCCAATGCGTCCTGAGGACAGACCTTGACCTGCTTGACAGCTGAGACAACATAAGGAGGTGGTCTTTAAAGAAGCGTATTGAATTCACATGAGAAAATAAAAATCTGCTTTGTTCTTCTCAGGCTAAAAATCTCAGATTTACGAGTTAGGTTTTTTTGTTTTTTAAATACAAATAGAAAACAGCTGTTTTTCAAAATCAATTAGATACTAGTACATCAAAATCCCAGCAGAAGCTCTTATTTAGACCACTTAAAGAATAAAACATTCCCAGACTGTTTTCTTTAACGCATCGGCAGATACTTGTGTATTTAGGTGAAACATATGGTGATGTTGCAACTTAAATGTTTGCAGTTCAGACGCAAACCCCCCTCTGGTCTATCAGGATCAGCTCTGCCAATAAGGCATACTTCTATGATTTAAATTGAAGCATCTAAAATGCTTTCAGAATGGATACATAGTGCCTCAAGAAACAATAAATACTGGATCCCCATAGCGAGCGACTTACTGTAGGTGTCGATGTTGAACACATTTTTCATTCTTCATAAAAACTATGCTCAATAATTCAGAAAAACAGAGCAGATTTTTATTTTCTCATGCAATATGCTTCTGTAGGTCTGGCACGCAATTTATCCACAATGGTTTGGTTGTGTAAATGCTCAGGAGTCTTGGGCAGCATTAAGGACCACCTCCTCAACTGGGGGAAGAATGCTGCCTACCACTGGGTGTAAACGAAGATGCATTCATTTTTTTCAACGGAAAAGATTTATAGGCACTTATTTGACTGACAAGTACTCAATGGAGTATGCAAAGTGTAATAAATAAAGTGTAAATAAGTGCTTTTCACGTATCAGATCACCCAAGACGGATGTTCATGCAAGTGTAAACAGACTCTAAGACTAATGACGTAAATTATCAGGTTATGTAGGTCCTGCATGGGAAGTGAAAACCTATTTCTGGTTATCCATTTTCTGAAAGGAGAATGTTCTTTTGGGTTTCTATCCTGCTGTATGATTTAAGGAATGCAAAATCTTACTAATTTTGTTGATTTATTTAGCTCAAGATTAAAAACATCTATTATTAGATAAAGCTCTTAGTGACTATAAGGTAAAGCAGGATGTAATGACTGAAATGTGATCGTTGGTGGTGTATTGTACCGACTTGACTCCTTAAGCAATTTTCTACATACTTCTCTACATCTATACAAGACATCCTTTTGGAAATAGCTTTTATATTACTACAACATGGTTTAAGTGCAAAATCTGAATTTATCTAGCTGTGTGGGCGTTTAAACAGGGCGGTTATTACTTAACAATTCTTTTCAATACCCTTTGTATTGTGGTGCCCCGTGTGAGGCTCATTGATTACCCCTGGGGATGTGCAAGACAAGTTGGCTTAACGATTTAATTTTTTTCAAACTCACTAGTCAGCAACATAATTACTGGGCAGCTGTGGCTTAGTTGGTAGAGTCATCATCTCTCAACTGGAAGGTCGAGGGTTCGATCCCCAGCTCCTGCAGCAACATGTCCGATGGGTCCTTGGGCAAGGCACTTTACCCTGAATTGCTCCTGCTGCTTTGTCATCAGTGTATGAATGCATATAAATGGGATTAGCTACTTCTGATGGTCTTACTACATAGCAACCTCTGCCATCAGTGTGTGAATGGGTAGGTGTGATATATATATATATAGAAAATATATACTATACAAGCTCAAGTCCATTTACCATTTTTTATTTTTTCACAAGTTTTTTTATTGAGTTTTGAGACATACAGATATATGTTCGACGGGTTCTTCAGAAAAATAGAGTAATTTTGAATTAAAAAAACAAAACAAAGAAAAGACAACTAGAACACAACACAAACTAAGCTTGGCCGTTCAACGAATTACAAAAAGAAATAAACACAATATGTATTGAGGTAACTATAGCATATTATACGGAAGGGCTATAAAAGACAAAAGAAGGAAAACCGAACAAGTATGCAAACTTGTAACGTGCACACACATAAATAAATAAGCAGAAACATACACATAAAAGATGGATGTACACATACCACTATTATGAGTCATTCAGTAAATGCAGACCCTTAACGTATTTGAAAAAAGTGCCCCATGTTCTACGAAATCTTTTGGTTGAACCTTTTGTTACACATCTTATCTTCTCCATTTGAATAAAGTACAGAACATCTTTGAGACATGCAAAGTGAGAGGGAGGAGTGGGTGATTTCCAACGCAGCAAAATCTGTCGTCTTGCTAGGAGTGTCACAAATGCCACCAGATCTGTCTTATATTTTGGAAGCTGTAGATTAAGAGAGGGAATGCCAAAGCAAGCTGTTATAGCAGACGGCCTGACAGGGACCTCTAAACTTTTAGAAATTGTTTGGAAGATTTCTGTCCAAAATGTAACTAGAGAAGGGCAGCACCATATTATGTGGCTGTATGATGCTGGTGCTTGATGGCATCTGTCACAGGTGGGATCAATATTTCCATAGATTTTTGCTAATCTGACTTTAGTGAAACGTGTATGATGGGCAATTTTGCATTGAATTAGTCCATGTCTGGCACAAAATGAAGAGGAGTGGACTCTACGCAAAATTACCTACCACAGGTCATCAGTAATCTCTACGCCCAAGTCCTCCTCCCATTTGATTTTAATATTGTCTAAAGAGGAGGGGCGCAGTGAGGAGATGAGAGCATATATTACAGAGCTAGTACCCTTTACACAATGTGAGGGTTTCAGGAGTGAATCTATAGGAGTGGGGTCCGGAAGGTTGGGGAAATCAGGGTTTCTATTTCGGAGAAAACTACGGATTTGCATGTATCTAAAGAAATGTGATTTAGAAAGTGCATATTTTTCAGATAATTGTTCAAATGATGCCACTACATTACCTATATAAAACCTGCATCCATCAAGGAAGGGAGAAAGATCGGGTTGGCTGTGACAGGAGCCGATAAAGATAAGGACTGCAAACCAAAGTGACGTTTAAACTGATTCCAAATCCTGAGTGTTGATTTAACAATAATATTTAGTAAGGAGAAAGGGGAAAACTTAAAGGAGCATGCGCCAGTGCCGATAATGACGCTGGACTACAAGAGGAATTTTCCAAGAGTGACCATGCTGGAAGTGAGGGGGAATAATGAAATTGGGCCCAGTGCTGCAAGACTCTGAAGTTAGCTAAACAGTAGCAAAACCTGAAGTTTGGTAGAGCCAGGCCACCTAAAGGTTTTGGTCTTTGTAATAAGATTCTGCCAAGCCTAGGGACTTTCTTGTTCCAGATGAACTCTGACACCAGGCTGTCAATTTTATGAAAAAATTATTGAGTTAGAAAAATAGGTAAACACTGAAATAGGTATGAGAATTTTGGTAGAATGTTCATCTTGACTGAGTTTATTCATGCGGTTAGTGACAAGGGCAGTAGGGACCAGCATTCAAAGTCTTTACGTAATTTATCTAGCAGTGGTAAAAAATTTAACCTAAACAGATCCTCAAATGTATCTGTAAAGTAAACACCAAGATATGTGAAGCTAAGCAGCGTGACTTTAAATGGCAAAGTATGCAGGGGGAAATTACGGGCTTCTGTGTTTAAAAGGAAGAGTTTGCTTTTTCCAGGTTAAGCTTATAGCCTGAAATCATGCCAAATGACCTAAAAGTCTTGAGGGCTGCTGGAACAGAAACAGAAAGGTTAGATTCATATAGAATCAAATCATCGGCATATAGTGAGGTTCTTTGCTCAACACCAAATCTATAAACACCAGTTATATGAGGGTTTGATCTAAGTGAAATGGCCAGCGGCTCAATTGCAATCGCAAATAGAAGTGGGCTTAAATTACAGCCCTGACGAGTAGAGCGGAAAAGAGAGAAGTATTTAGAGTAGGTGTTATTAGTTCTGACACAGGCGGTAGGGGAGGAGTAGAGCAGTCTCACCCAGCTGATAAAAGTTACACCAAAACCAAATCTCTCCAAGGTGTGGAAAAGATAGCCCCACTCCACCCGATCGAAGGCCTTCTCTGCATCCAATGAAATCACAGCCTCCGACACTGAAGAAGTGGAAGGATTATATATGACATTAAGGAGACACCTCATATTAGAAAATGAGTGCCTATTTTGTATAAAACCTGTCTGGTCAGGGGAAATTATATGGGGTAAAGCAGTCTCTAAACGCAAAGCTAATAATTTAGGTAAGAGTTTTAAATCGACCTGCAGTAAACTTATAGGGCGGTAGCTCCCACAAAGGAGAGGGTCCTTTTTATTTTTTGGAATTAAAGAAATTGTGGCCTGAGTAAGTGTATGTGGTAGATTAAGGGTGAGTAAGGATTCATTGAACATATCAATGAGGAGTGGCGCTAACTTACTGAAAAATGTCCTATAGAATTCAACGAGATAACCATCCGGGCCCGGACATTTACCTGATTGCATAGCACGCGCAGCTTTATCAAGCTCTTCTATAGAGATAGGCTCATCCAGTCTTGCAGCAAGGTCAGGTCTAATCTTAGGGATGACAAGGGGGGCAAAGAAACTGTTAAACGCTGTGGGGTCATTGGATTGTTCAGCAGTATAAAGGGAGGCATAAAATTGTTTAAACTGTTCGTTGATTAGTTTGGGGTCCGTGGTTATACCTGTTGGAGTTTGGATCTGTGGGATTTGGTGTGAAGCTGACTCTTGTCTTAGTTGGTGGGCTAGAAGCTTACTTGCTTTATCCACCTGCTCATAACATCTCGATTTGAAAAGTAGTTCCACTGCAAGGGTGGTAGAAAGAACGTCGAATTCTGCTTGAAGTAGGAGTTGCTCTTTATATAAATCTGGTGTTGGAGCAGTAGAGAAGACCCCATCAATCTGCGTAATAGGCTTGGATATATCTGCCAATTTCTTACCTCTAATTTTAGCGTCGTGAGCACAGTAAGAGTAAGAGTGGAGTTCTGTTAATTTCTAAAAAGAAATCAATCTGCTGAGAGATAAAAGCCACAAAATCTTCATTTGATGAAAGACGGGTATTCAGTCTCCAGGGTGGTTGAGTATAATCACATCCCATAATTTGTAGCTCCATTAGGACAGGAGCATGATCCGATATAACAATAGGTTCGTACGAATAGGACAATACTTTTGGGATAAGCTGATTATCAATCAAGAAATAATCGATACGTGTGTAGGTATGGTGAACCTGAGAGAAAAAAAGAGAATGCCCTTCCAGATGGGTTATGGAATCGCCAAGGGTCTGATAGTGAAAGTTCTTTCATAAAAGATTGAATAATCTTAGTTGAGCTCGAAAGGGATGTACTTTTAGTAGAGGAGCGGTCTAATTTTGAGTCAAGACAGCAAATAAAGTCCCCCCCCAGGATGAGATGATTTGTGGATAGGTCTGGTAAAGAGCAAAAGACTGATTTGAAAAAATGTTCATTATCCCAGTTAGGGCCATAAATATTAAGATGGACCACAGGAGAGCCAAATAGTTTCCCTGTCACTCGTACATATCTACTATTTGGATCAGAAAAGACGTCTGAGCAAATAAAATTAATCAACTTATTAATATCATCACCCCTCGAGATCTACTTTGAAATTAAGAGTGGTACACCTGTTCGACCCACCTCCTCCGCAATCTGATATGGTTAGCTGGCTTAAGATGGGTTTCTTGGAGGAAAGCAATGTGAACTCCTAAATGTTGAAGATGTCCAAGTATTTTACTACGTTTGATTGGCTGGTTTAGGCCTTTGCAGTTCCAACTAAAGAATTTTAACACTCCTCCAGTCTGCTGCGCAACTCTAGGTTGGTTCATAAATCAGATGGAAAGGGTATGACAAATAAAGGAAATAAATAATAATCCTGTTAGCAATAACAGACTGGTGCTAGATGAGTCACAAATAAAAAAGTGCATTATAGATAATATCACACAATTGTGCTATTTGTTAAAAAGGTGCAGCAGCTGTATACAAAACAATACAAATAACATCACTCAAAAGGAACTGTGAACAGACTGTCGCTTTCCCTATACAGGGCTTGTAGAAGGGACCACTTTTCTGAGTTTACTGTCTATGAAGGCCGAAGCAGCAGCCGGGTCGTCAAATGTGTGAGAGGTACCATTCTGCAGAGTGATTCTCAAAACTGCTGGAAACATCAAACCAAACTTCACACCGGGACAGGCTCGCAGATCACGCTTCACTCTTCCAAATGCAGCTCTCTTCTTTAAAACAGCGGGGGTATAGTCCGGGAAGATCAAGAGTTTCTTACCCTGGAGAGAAAGAGAGGTGCCACAGGATGTTTCACTGGCACGGCGTAGAATATCATTGCGAACATGAAAGAAATGAACCCTGATGATAAATGGTCGGGGTGCTTCCCCATCCCTGGGTTTGGCACATTGGCTCTGTCGTCGGGGCGTCTCGTCCAGGTGAAGCAGGTCCTTTAGCAGTTGGCCAATAAATTCTGTTGGGCGTGGACCCTCTGATCCCTCAGGAATCCCCAGTAGCCGAAGGTTATTCCTCCTTGATCTCCCCTCCAGATCCTCACATTTCTCTGTCAGACACTTTACCTCCGCCTTCAGTATGTTTACCGTAGCAGCAAGTGAGGAGAGCTGGTCGCTATGGTCGGTTGCCGTCTGCTCTAACTCTTCAATTGTTTGCCCATGCTCGTTAACTTTTAGCAGAAGCGGTTCGGTGGCACTTTTAAACTCCGTACGTACTGAGTTAATTTGAGCTCTCAGGTTGGTTGCCAGCGAGTCGATTCTACCGCATATATCGTCTTTCAGAGAGTCCAGCACTGACTGCAGAGTCTGTAGGTCGGAGCTGTTAGCCATACTTGCTGCTAGCTGTAGCTGCAGGGGGTGACGATGGCTCAGTCAAATGAGAGGCTTTGCTGCGGCCTGCACGAGCAGCATCGGTTCTTGTTTTAGTGGAGGTCATAGTAAAAGGTCATTGGTAAAAGTTCCAGAAAAAGTTTAAAAAAAAAAAAAAAAGTGTCCCAAAGTTATAACTAAAGAAGCAGAGAGTCACGCGATGTCCAGAAATGTCATCAAGAGACTGATTTTAGGTGAAATTGTCACATAACAACAGAGCATCGAAAAGCACGTCTTACATGCTTGGTGTCCGGCTCCGCCCCCCAGTCCATTTACCATTTAAACATATTACTAATATTCTTGTACTTTGGCCCCTAATACAAGTCAATTATTTTGTCCAATCTGTAATGCAGCCACCCACCACTAGCTGGAGCTGTAGCCCTAGAAAAACTAGTTCATGGGCCTTCTCTTCTAGCTCTACTGCCTGAACGTAAACAAGCACAGTGACCGGTTAATCTCATTGGAGCAGTTGTTTATTTTGATCTGGAAAATTTAGAAAAAAATGATATATGCTGTGTCAGCTGAAACTGGCATATCGACCCAAGCAAGGTGTAACAATATTCTTCATTTACCTGTGGACGTTGGCCAGCAAGAAGGACCGAAGGCTGGATGCTACTGTTGTTAATTTTAGCCACACTTGGAAAACCAAATTGCCTCATATACCTGCAGACAATTTTTATAAATTGTGCTCAGTTGTGACTGTATTCTAAGAATTGTCATAACTTTGACTTAGAAATGAGTCACCTGGGAACATCCTTAAATATCACTATATAGTTTTTGGCCTTTGTTTTTGCACAACATTATTTGGTTAACTGCAAAGGGAAGTAACAGTATTTTAGAAATCCGGACACTATTCACTTTACATAGAGAATATTCTCTTTTAATACTGACAAAAACATTTTAGAATTCCTCCTGTAGATTTATACAGTCTGCAGCAGTGAAACAGGCTGTTATGTCTGCAACATAATCCTTGAAGGATCAAAGTCTGTCCATGCACATTTGTTGTTGCTGTTGTTTTTAAATGCACATCTTTTGCACATTATCTCCGTACTTTGAAAATCTGTATTTTATCCTTTATATTTTATATTTTGCATTTTCTTTTAAATATCTTTTTATACTTTTTCAGCTTGCACCGTGGTTCGGAGAGAAAAGTTTTTTCAATTTTTCTGTATGTCCAGCACGTAAGGCAAAAATTGACAATAAAGATGACTTTGATCTTGACTTAATGTTCTTGTTTTTGTCACTGACAGGATCAGATTATTATTCTCAGTATCTGAAAACATTACAGAAATGATCCCTACAGAGATAGACCTTTATGTTAGAGGAAGATTTTTTATTTTGAAATTATATAAATACATTTTTTTAAATGCAGATACAGCTGTTACATCTCTCTCTTCAAAGACACCAGACTCTATAGAAACAGGGTTTTTAACTCATAAACAAAGGAGATGCTGGTCTTTCGTTGCCTTGATTGGTAAGTTGGTTTTACTGGTACGCTGCTGGCAAAAACCACACAGCACAGGAGTTTCTGGTCTACATCTGCCTCAAGGGATTAGTTTGTTTTTGTTTACTGAATTACCCCCTCGCATGTCACAAACCGCTATATCTAAACTCAAGTCAGATGTTGAAAGAGCTGCCAAGTCAAAATACAAGGGGGAGACCAGAGGGTTAATTTTTTCATGGAGTATCAGGAGTTAGTGTTCACAAAGAGTTCCAGAGCTCTGAAGGCAGGTCCTCAGCAGGGTCACTGTCATCAGAGCCCTTCAGTGTATCAACATACTGCAGACCAGTCAGAGACACATCAGGTTGAACATCCTCCTCGTCTGACTGAACCTCAGGCTCAATGCTCTCCTCGCTGCACACTTCCTCCTCCTGCTCCTGCGCTGCCTCCTGATCGGATGGCTGGTTGTTTGTGGGAGGTATTTGGTGCATTTGGCTTTTTGAAGATTCAGAAGAGAAGGACTCAAGGTCTGGACCTGTAGGAGAGGACAACTGAGTGACCTAGACTTAACTGTTAAGCCACATTAGCACATGCACAAAATGTTCAGGGTAGGCTGCAGGTGTGTATGCGAACGGGCACAATTTTCTCTCCAACTTTTACCCAGACTTTTTCCTGCAAGCCCCCTAGTACGGTGCGATCTCCATGGATGTAATGAGACTGCTTAAGCGTGTGTCTTTGTTGATACTGTTATATATCAATGACTAAAACTCTAATTGCTTCATCTGCCCATTTCCGCATTGTCCTTTTTACAACATGTGGTGATCGGTCACTGACCTGGTGCAAGATAAAAATGTAATCAAGCCTTCTTACTCACTTGCAGGGAATTTTCCCCAATGTTTCCTGCTACGTTCACACATCTGCTCCCATTGACTTCACATGGAACTTTTACAAGGGGGCTGGCAAATTGAAACTAGTTTGACGCGATATTAGTAGCTACAATTTCTATGTTTTTTTATAGTTTTATAATTTGGTGGGGTTACCTGAGGTCAGTGATGATTCAGGGCTGATGTCTTCGCTGGTGGAGTTGAGGAAGTCGTCCAGTGCCTCCTGGTCTGATGTGTTTGTTACCGTCATATGATCCAGAACACTGACATCAGCGCCTGTACATTCTACAAACACACATACACACATTTTCCACATATAATTAATGTAATTTTGACCTGTCTGATACTTATAAGCTGTATCGTGGAGAAGACACCAAGGGGCCGACCGGAATGCATAATAACTTAAAGGAGAGACAGGTGTGCCCCACATCTGTAAGATGCCATGATGATGCAGAAAACTTGATCTGTATTATCCTGGGAGTTCAGCATCATCCCCTTATTCTGCACAATCCTGTCCTCCAACAGGAGCATTAGTTGTCCACTCATTTACTCTTACTTGCGAAAGACCTAAGACAAATGAATGGGTGTAATGTCGTCATTGCGACTGCACAACTGGGAAGTACAATGATGTATGTGAAAAATGTAAAACAACATAAACAAACAACAAAAAAACAGCAATTACATTTAAAAGTGAGTATGTCCATTCATATTTTTATAGGCTTAAAAAGATCCAGTCGAATTTCTCAGCCATCACTAACTGGGACTTACGTCTGGTCTGTAGGTATCCCGTGGAAAGGTACTGCTTCACGTCTTGGTTGAAAGCTTCTTCATACACTTTTTGTCGTTCTCTCAGTTTCTGCTGCACAGCCTGCTCCCGCTCGGCCACCTTCTGAGCATGCTCAGCATTCAGCTCCGCTACACACAGACAGACACACATCTTAAGAGACATCTACAGGGTGTTTGACATTAAAATGAGAACTGCAGAATTATTTCTACTGCAGTGATTTACACAGAGGATAGTTTCACCTACCACTGATCAGAACACTAAGTATTTACTCATCGCTGAAATGTCACAGTTAACTCGTGGCAGATGTGGGAGCAGCTAAGCTAAGTTAGGAGCTAAGTAGAATGAAACTCTTCGGCTTCAGCCCCTCCACAGATCGGTGCTCTCAAAAAGAGGACCTAAGAAGTCAAAAATCAAGTCTCCTTCACACAGGAGGAGTCTAAAGAAAGTACCAGCAGTGCGTCAAAATGTTAGTCCTTTGCACGTTAATAAATTTACTGTGAGTGATTACTGGGCTCTGGTACTTTTTTTGGACTCTGCCTGTGTGAAGGAGACATTTGATTGACTAAGTTAGAGGCTCTCTGAACATGATATTTTGATATCATTTTGATATCTGCTGCATCATTTACTTCATGAACCAACCACCGTGCAGGAGTGGAGAAATCCAATCAATAACATTTATGTGCTGGGGAAATATTAACCAGGGATTTTGGGGGAAAATGTTAGGCACCAAACATTTATTTTCCTGCATTCCGATCAATTTTTGGAACCATTGTTTTCAATTTTTATTAGATTATTAGATGTGCACCTTTTCACACTAATGATAAATGCATTCATTTCATTGTATTTATCATTGTAGCATGCATGGATACAAGTCAATTTTTCCTGATTATACAGTTAAAAAAATGCAAATGTATTTATTAATCAAAGCCGAGGGCCTGATCTTGCTGACATCATCGCCTCCCTCTGCCTGTGTATCGCTATGATAACAGGTCAGCCTTATGTAGGGAGCGTTGTTATAAATGATGTAACAAAACTAAGAGGGTGTGTAGCAACAAGCTACACGAAACGATTAAACAACATCATTAGACGAATCATATTTAACATGTGACGACGCACTGCAAACTCTCTCTCCTGATCCCCTGCAGAGCCACAGAAAATATCAGACGCTACTCAAAACTAAGAAAAGTGAGGGCAGAAGTTAGTTTATGGATCTTAGAACGGGATCTTACGTGGAAAAAAAGGGAAGCACAAAACCTGACGTAGGATTTATAATACAGACGGCTGTTTAACGGCTCTGTTTAACTCAGGTTCTTCTCTGCACATCTCCTGCCATTACCAAAGACAGACACTTTTATAAGCATCAACACTGTTTGACAGTGATGCAGCTCACCTTCTAGGGCCTCCAGCTCCTTCCTGTCAAAGACAAACAGTGAGCTGTTTAATATTAATCTTCCTACAACATTTACATACATGCAACATGTGATGAGAATATCCACAGGACTGACAAACAGCACAAAATAAATCTTTTAAACAGTATAATATGACATTTTAAGCTTTTCACTGAATTCAGGCGGTTGCAGGGGAACAAAATAATTTATATATGATAATAAAGTGAAATAATCACAGTGTTTCATGCAGCTCTGGTGATATTCCTCTTTGATATTCCTGCGGTCATAGCGCTCTTAAGGGCACTCCGTCCATTAACAGCAGTTTTGAGCTGGCAGTGCCCACGACCTCAAGGAGCATCTCATAGGCGGTTACTGTTGCTAGGTTACGACTGTTGCTTCATGGCACCTCTGCTTCCCTTGGTGACTGTTAAGGCTGTTTTAATTGCCCTGTTTGCTTCATATTTGCTTTTATTGAAGAATTAAATTGACAAATAAAACACAAAAACATTGTTGTTTACGAAGCTGATTTTGGAAGTCCCTCCCTTTTTTTATTTAGATTGGTCAGGTGAGGGAGAGAGGCATTAAAGAGGTGCGGTTTTGTTCCTAAAGTTTTCAACTGCCGTTTTCACATATGCACTACTGAAAATCTCTATAGAATTTCTCGACTCTTTTGTGTTTCCTCAAGTTTAAAAAATCATTTGAGAAGAGAGAAACCTCTGCCACACAGCTGAGGATAATAATGCTAATCTTTACCTCTTCTTCTTCTTATGGACCTCCAGCTGGCTGATATGATGTTGTTTGGATGTCTGTTGATCACACTGAGCACACAGCGTCTCCAGATAAACCAGCCGGCTCTCCATCTCCTCAAAGTCTCCTTCCAGGAGGGCTGCACACACACAAACATTCAGGTACTGATGGTATGTCTCTAAAGATTTTGAGTGTTTTTTTTTCTTATGAAACAGAAATTGAAATCAGACCACACACCGATGTTAGCGGTGATGGTGTCCAGGTCACTGATGAAGGCCGGTAAACTCTGCAGCTGTTCCTGAAGCTGAGTCAGGGCTGTTCTTCTTCTCTCCCAGTGAGCTGAGAGCATCACTATGTCCCCGTCTACTGCCTACACACACACACACACACACACACACACACACACACACACACACACACACACACACACACACACACACACACACACACACACACACACACACACACACACACACACACACACACACACACACACACACACACACACACACACACACACACACACACACACACACACACACACACACTTTTATCATCTCTCTTTTTTAAGTACCATGCCCAACATTTATTTTCACTATAGAATGATCGGCTTATTACTTATTAAAATAGTTTATTAGCTCTTCAAAATGAAGTGAAAATAAAAACTGTCCTCTTATTGTTATTTTACAGAGACAGAAAACACGATAAAAAGCAGGAAATCTCAGCGCCTCAAGGGGTCATAACTTATCAACATTGTTTAAGTGTACTTAAAGGTTTACCGGAATATGCGATTTTTCACACTTAAATGTAGAAATCAAGTATCTCCTCTGAAAATAACTCTGTGGGTCATGACTGTCTACAATGGGTGTAACACCCGAGTCCCACTGTCTGTGATGTTTTCAGAGTTTTCAGAGTCCTATTTTCACTTTGTTTACATCGCCAGGACGGCCGGCTGACTCCTCCCCTCGTGTATAAAAGTTGTGTAATTGAGGGACTAGAGAAAAGAAGAATAACATACTGTACTCACTGCTTAACTGTGTTTCTAGATCACGCTCATTTCAGGTAAATTTACATGCAGTGTGAAGATACCAGCATAATAAAGATCGCTAGCATTAGCATGCTAACACAACAATGCAGCGCGAGTTGTTTTGGTTTCATGCTGGTGCTCAAGGGCGACATCTGCTGGATCAAAAAATCGCATATAAAGCCTTTAATTGACTTCTCATTCAATCCTTGAAGTTCAGACTTATTTTATTCAAACCTTGTGAGACGTGTGTTTCTGTATAAAAGCCAACGTCTCTCCATCACTTCAGTATTTGGATATTGTTGAATTATCTTTGTTGCAACAGTGCATGAGTGTGAATGAGGTGAGCGTACCTCTGCATCCTGAGCACAGTCTTTGGTTCTTTTATGGAGCACAAACCAGCCGTCCTCATATCTACAGAAAAACATGACACACATAAATAAACACATCATCAGCATACGAGCGCGCTGTTTGGACTGTGTGTGTGTGTGTGTGTGTGTGTGTGTGTGTGTGTTATATACACACCTGCTGAGGATTTCCACTCCAGCACTGAAATAAGGGAGGCTTTCTTCAAACCTAAAATCAAACAGAAGAATTTAAATCGTGTTCAGACTCAAATCATTAGAAAATTAAGAATGGGATTAAAAAGTGATTTTCTGACTGATGCATCTTTTTGCAGAAGGTTTTATTAACTCCTGAATCAGATACATTTACACATCTACACACCACCTGTCCTGATTAAAAGAGAATAAACAAACAATAAGCTTTGATATTTCAAATACGCAGTGACGGACGCAGTCATGCCCCCTTCTCGTCTGTGTGGTTAAAGATCCCTTTTTGTAGAGTTCTGTAAGTGTGTTGTGTGTTTCTTTTTTTTAAACCAGAACCAGCTGTTACGTCTCTACCAGACTCTGTTGGGACAAACAGGAACTTTATCTCACAGGACACAGGAGCTGTTTTTTCTACTTCTGCCAGTTTGTTAGTGGAGCTGTATCTTTGGTGTTTTAAATTTATATGTTTTGTATCTAACAGGATAAAATGAAACATGAGTTCAGGTTTAAAAAAAGACCAGAATCTCCTTTTGAACAAACTCTGCAGAAGCTGCTCCGTGTCGCTGACAGTTTCACGCTCACCTGGGTCTCCTCCTGATTTTGGGGTCTCTTGATTTGTCTCCAAGGGTCTTGAAGCTGGAGAGAGAGAGAGAGAGAGAGAGAGAGAGAGAGAGAGAGAGAGAGAGAGAGAGAAATTATAGTAAGAGAAAAATCTAAAGGATTTTAAAAAAGCCACTTTTTGAAGGTCTCGCTCTCGTCTCGGAATCGAAAGCATTTTTACTCAGTCTTGTCTCGTGCTCAGAAAGGGCGGCCTTCAGATTTTAAATCAAAACCGGTCAAGACCACCACTAAGAGGCGATTTTGATTAGAAGGAAAACACCTCTTTTTTAAAGAACAAATAACTTCGATTCATTTATATTTTGATTTTTATCCGCCGTTTACGGCCACAACCTTCCCGGTGTTACGGTCTAAGTGAGAGACACAAGATTTTTCAGAGATATTTATGGTCTTGGTCTTGTCTCGTCCTGTCTTGGTCTTGATTCCGTCTCGATCCCTAAATGTCTTGGTCTCAGATCACTCTGGTCTCGGTCTCAGACCGGGCGAACTTCAGATTTTAAATCAAGACCGGTCAAACCACCACTGATTTTTCCACGTCATTACTTGCTAATCGAACAAATCACTTCAATTCATTGATAATTTGATGATTTTTATCCCCTAGATACAGGTGCATCCTTCCAGGTGTTTCAGTCTAAGTGAGCAACACGCCCCCTGTACACAAGATGATGACATCTCAATGATGTTTAAGGTCTAGGTCCTGACTCTATCTCACCCTGCCTTGGTCTTGTCTCGGTCTCGGGTCACTCTGGTCTTGGGTATGTCTTGGTCTCAGTTAGTGTGGTCTTCACTTCAACACTAGACTGTGAAAGTGTTCAGCTTCGATAAATATCGTGTGATGCAGATGTTGTAAAATCAGTAAATAATCCTGTTCAATAATCGTGATTAGGAGTTTTAGGATAGGATAGGATAATACTTTATTGATCACCAGAGGGGAAATTCGGGCATTGCAGCAGCACAGATAAGAAAGCTCAAAGTACACATTAAACAGAATAGATAAGATAAATAAAAACAGGGGGTATATACAAGTACAAAATGAATGATGAAGTTAACTATGCAGGGAATTGAGACATTATGTGCAGAGAATGACAAGATAAAGTGACGAGTGATTAAAGTGACTTGGTATGATAAATAGCAGCAAGTAATGTAAACAGCAGAGAAGAGAGGCAGTGTTGTACCACAGTAATGCAGAGTGCAGTTATATAATATAATGTAGTATAATATAATATAATATAGTGCAATATGAACAATAAAGTGTAATATAATGAAATGTTATATAATATAGACTAATATAATAAAATAATAATTTGTTGTGTTGTTTATTTGTATTGCTGCAGGGCCCTCTCAGTGGGTCCTCCCTGATAAAACAAAGGATAAACAAACATTTAAAGCCACTTCTAAATCATCTGAATTGTTATGCATTTGTTGTTGTTTTGCTTCGTGTCCCTTAACTATAACAGCTATTTTCAGTGTAATCGTAATTAATTAATTTGTATGTATTTATTGATGGTGAAGTTGAGTCTTCTTGCTTCGTGCTTTTCAGCTTGTTGAAAAAAGTCCCTGAACACATGACCGTCAGCTGCAAGTAATAACCAGGAACAGCAGCTCTGAGCTAATATACAGTGAAAACACTGACAGTAACGTTAGCTCATTTAAAGATTACACTGACAGCTAATGTTACTTTAGTCATTTTATTACATTTATAGCTGTTACCATGGGGATTAACGAGCTCGTAATTAATCAACAAAACACAGCTGACAATCATAACAACAGCGTTAGCTTGCTAGCTTGTTAGCTTTTGACACTCTATGTAACTAACGACAGAAAAGAGACAGACCCGGTGGTGAAATCCTGCTGGACCATTTGAAGTCTCTCCCTGAAGTTCTCAAACATGACTCCACCTCTCACTTTACCGAGTCCGACCTGGTTCTTCTCATCCACAAACATCAGCCCGAGCTGTGTTTGTTGCGCCGCTGCAGCCTGGAGCTGTTGAACCTCTGAGCCGGAGCCTGTAACTGTTCAGTCTGTAATTTTGAACCCTGAGCGGAGTCTCACAGGCAGACGCCGTTTCCTGATCCTGGTATGGGAACACGGTCAATCCGACACAAGAGGCTTTGACATTTTCTATTGGTACGTTAAAGATGATATACTGTGTGGATGTGTCAAATGTAGTCATGAAGGGAGGAGTTAAGCGAAGCTTGAAAATAGTTGCCTGGAGAAAATTATACCTGAAAGACAAAACTCAGGGCAAGTATCTCAATGTTCACATTTAATTGTTTGTAATGGTAGCTGCTGTCAGTGGCGATTCTGGAGTGTGATGGGGCCCGAGGCAAAAACTTACAAGGGCCCTCTGCGAAGGAGGATTCTTGTCTCCCGGTGGTGTGAACTCGACTCGGTTACAGCCAGATAAACATATTTGTCTGCTCTGTTAACAAAGTAAACTAATGTTAAACTTCAAAGAATCGTACAGTCTTTGTTTGCCATTTTGTGTAATGAGTTGAAGTGAGACAAAGTTTAATGATGTTAAGTCTTTCTGAAACATAAAAATACAAAGTAAATTTATTGCAAATAATTCACATTTTATGCAGATGTTTTTTTTTACAGTAGATATCACAGCTCAAATGTTTGGGTGTGCTAAACGTTCAATCGTGTCCCTTAAGGACCGGAAGAGTTTCAGAAACACATAAAGACAGAAACAACTCAACAATGGGTTAATAACAACTCTAATAACACTTTAAAGTTGCATTAACTGGTATTAGATAACATAAATTCACAGTTAGGAAAAAAGGCATGAATACATTTCTCTCACAGTTGGAAAAGTCCTGCGCCGATCAAAAATACATGATCAGAGTTTAAATATCTAGCGGAGACTTTAAAAATCGTAATATTAGCAAGGGGCAATACTATACTGCTCAGTCTTTCACTCTATTTTCAAATAGTGGAGAAAAAAATCTATGAAACCACATTGTATAATACTGGGAAAAAGTCAGGAAAGTTTACGACAAACGTTAAAGGATGGCTGAAGCTTTATGTGTACTTCAACCATTGACTGTATAAAACATGGACGTTGGCCTAATGATGCCCTGTCACTGTTTTCTGAAGAGAGATGTTTTGAAGCTCATCCATGGCGGTCACCATAATGGAAATTCTGTCTCTACCTAACTGTAGATCAATTTAGTAATAGACATAAAGGCGGAGCTAAGGTAGACCCACCTGTCGACGTAACCATGCCCCTTATTATGCAATTTTTTGCATAATTCTTAAACATAATATGATCATAACTGATTAGTTATAGGGAAAAAATCTCCCCTGTTCAGTGTGTACCAATAAAGACATTACCAATTTAGTCCAAAATCATATTTATAACCAGGTTGTAAACATGTCTAATTCTGCTTTAAAAACATACATTTTAATATGGGACCTAATGGGGATACTTAAGGGTTAGGAGCCAGCCTCAAGTGGACATTTGAGGAACTGCACTTTTTTTGCACTTCTGCATCAGCTTCATTTTTTAAAATCAGAAGTTGCTGCTTGGGTTCAACATGTAAGACGCATTATTCCACGATGAGAAATGTAAGTGAAGTCACTCTTCCACATACCTTATCCAAAACTTTGAATCCCTGGAACTACTTCTAAAATAAACAAATGTTTCCTTAGTCTTGGTGTCTTCTTTCCTTCACAGTCTAAAGCCCCATGACATTAGGGAAATTAGTCTGCTGAGAAGTGTAGAAGGATGACTGCAATTTCCGCGTACACTTCAACAACAAGTCTTTGCTGAAATAAAATGCATCAACCAACTACCAAAATATTCAATGCTTCAAATTTCTGTCCTTTGAGAGATGCAACAACCCATGCATGGAGGTCAAACAGTGTCCAAAGAGCCTAACTTTGACCCAACCCAAGTTCATTATCCAATTAACTGATTATTAAAAGTCATATGTAAAAGGTTTGGGACCATTGAGTTTTCAATACTCCAGTGCTTTTTGATGTCACTTGTTTATAATTTTAGTGATCAATAATTTTAGTACTGATCAAAGTACTGAAGCCTTAAAAAAACTTCAGATCTTTAATTTAATCAAATCTGCCACAAGGGAGAGCGCTGTTTTTATGTTACTAAACATCAATGTATTTGTGCAATTAAGACAGTGTGCAGGAGTTTGCCAAGATCATAACCCAATATTAGGCGCCTAGGGCTTGAATTTATGTTCCTGTGGTAGTGAAACTGGTAACGATAGAATTGGATTTGTACTAGAATCACATCAGAGTGGGAAATAAAAGGTTTGCGAGAACCCTTTTTTAGTTCCAAACTGTTAATGACTGCAATGTGATAATTAAGGGAAATTGCTCCCAACCCAATAGTTAGAGACTAAGTTGCTTCTTTTCAAACCAGAATCAGCGAGGAGTTGCTGGTCTGCCGTATCCTTGATCAGATGGTTTGTTGGTGTAATTGTGTAATATTTTAAATGGTTAGCTTGTACCCAGTGAACATCTGAGTAAACACACACACACGTACGCACACACAAAAAACACTATCCATTTAGTACGCTGAATATGTAAAAAAATAAGGCCCAGGTTTAAAATCAGGAATCATCCTTTAACAAGTAATGTTAGTATTTGTATTTTTAACCATAAGATGGACTCATGCCTTTATTCATAACATGTGTCGGCCATAAATTAACACACTGATAAAAATGCAACATTAACAGAAGTATGGACAGAGTATAAATAACTCATTTACAAATTAATTTCTCAATTATTCATATAAAGCCCCTTCGTGTCCAAATATGAAGTGAGCACTGCAACTTTTTTTTTTAAATCACCATCATCAAAATCTTCTAAAAAATCCTTAACATAGAGGCTTTACTCTCAGGAAGTGTGCAGTATTTATAGTATTATTGTACTACTTTTATTTAATACAGATATTAAGAGTTACCACTCTTCTATTCAACCATCCCAAACCCATTTCATTAGTTAGCTAATAGCACCTGATAGCACCTGATGTACTCCTAAAACCTTCTGAAATCTCAGTAATACTTGTATAGTCTCTTATCATACAGCATGATGGCCAATCTAACAGTGAAGGTTTCCACATGTCAGCAGCATTTACTGACATATTCAGTTTAAATGTCTGTCATTTACTCCACTCATCAAACACAATCCAAACAGACGCAGAAATAAGAACGCAACCTACCCAAGCGAAGCCCCTTACAAAATCTTTCTATTGAGTTCAACAAAGCTGATGACTGACCGCCTCTAGTGGCTGTACAGAAAGTCAACGTCAGTGTGGATTATTTAGGTGGACGATTCTGCTGTGCTAACGTGCCTCTGACATCTATGTTTGTTGTAATATAATGCTACCTGTAATCATTTTAGGATTCTAGTTTAGGGCAAGGCTACAAACTTTTGTATTGTTCCCTGGGCAATGTTTTTTTGCTGTACTGGTAGCTAAACTGATTATTTTGCAGATTTATATGGACAGAGGAATTTGTCTACGCTTCTTAACCTGAACACACGATCCCTTCTCAAGAAGAAATGCAGCGCAGAGAAAATTAACTTTTGTTTGGAAGTTATCGGGCTAACAGCTGGCTACACCAGGATGAATGAAAAGATCTCAATTACTATTATAAGACGACAGAGGATGGGTTCCAAGATTGAGCAACCATTTACACATATAGATAACAGTATATAGTCCCTACATCATGATCCAACCAATTATGAACCCATTGACTGATGTCTGACAACTGTTAAGTCGTTAAGGGAAATGACCAAAATTTTGAGCTTATGGCAACCAGAGGATATTTTGATAACTGATGTCGAGGACCAAGATTTCCCCTTCACTGCACTAATCACCGTTTACAGTCCAGTGACAAATTTCAGGCATGAGAAGGAAGTATTACATGAGAGAAGATAAATTTAATTGGATTGTAATTTGCACTCAAATGCAGATAGCTACTAAAGGAATAAATTTAAAAAAAACTAATTTTTTAACAGATAATAGCCAATGGATTCTGAGATTGCATTTTGGCCGACACTTTCTGCTTATTCTGCTAATCACACAGATTGTTTCAATGCATACCACCTATGTACATCTACCTCACTGGTCAATACCATTCTGACTACAAAAACGGAGACCTAAATGCAACAGAACTTTAATCTTGGAACCTAATGGCCGATTGGTGCCACAAGAAATTTTTGGAAATTCAGGACTAGACAGTGGTTTTTCAAAATAGCCATGAAGATGCCCAGGCTAAAAAACATTTTTTTTTGCCCTGGTCATTGTTTACAATTGATATTAATGCTAAAAGAGTGTAAGAGAACAGCTGACAACTACACCCAAATTGTGATTTGCACTCACTAGGAGATATTTTCTATACTGATGAATAAGATGCTAAATTGTCTTCCAATGATAGCCAATGGGTTTGGGGAATACAAAATCCATGGCCAATCAATTACACCTTTTCTGTTCCACACTGACTGTTTTCCTGAAAACAACCCAAGCTTGCTCAAACCTGATTGTTTGATACTTCTTGGCTACAGACTTTGGTGATGCACCCTCATTTCTATTCTGTCCAGTCGTTTCATACTCACCTAGCTCAATTCACTCATTAGCCAATGGGCTTTCTGGCGTGAGGATTCTGGTATTTCATAAAATTGGTGTCACCTGGCCATCGCTCAGGTAACTCCTTAGTGAATCGTCAGCAGAGATCTGATCTCTTTGTACATTGGAGAACACCAAGGCAAAGACTCTTAGCAGTTCAAAACCAAAATGCAGAACACACTTTTGTCCTTTGTTTAAGAGGAAACTATCCTACCACCCAACACCTAGCACCTCAAGTTCCCTTTGATCAACAGCACACATTTTTTGTTTAAAGTATCTTGCTAACTGGCCCTAATTCTCAGTATCTGTAAAAGTGAACCTTAACGCTTCGGAAGGATTCTCGGGCTGGTCCTGGTCCTAATGGCTGAGGTAGTGGGCTTGGTCTCGGTAAGGCCCTTTGTGGAGCCCTTGGAAGTGCTATGACTGTCCTTAGTTGGATCCCCTGGGGTGTCCTTGGAAGAGTCTTTTGAAGCACCTTTGGAGTGATGGGTAGAGTACCTGCTTGCTGGTGAAGTACACTTGGTAATGTGTTTGCTAGTACCTTTGTTGGTACCCTTAGTAGTGTGCTTGGCAGGATAAGTGGCTGGTGGGTCTGGTTGAGTAGAAGTCACTGAGTTGATAGCAGCTTTAGAAACAGTAGTCCTAGCAGCAGCAGCAGCAGCTCTGGCTCTAGATTCAGTAGTCCTGGTGATTGGCTTGGAGAGTGAGGATGAAGCAGGATGGTTTCTCTGGATCCTTTTCTCTCTGACATGTCTGTTAATGACCTGGCTGACCGGGCTGAGTTCACAGTTTGTAATGACCCTTTCTTCAGAGAGCTCCAGAGAAGTGATGCTCTCCAAACTTAACTTTCCAACATTACCCTTGTCCTGTACGACTTCACTAATACTGTCTGTCTGTAATCTCATTTCTTCAACATGGCCGAGAATTTCTTTTCCACAATCTGCATCATGGCTGACATCTTCAACCCCATTTACTTTTTCACAGTCGGTCTCCTTCTGTGGGATCTCAACACTCTCCAATGGGACATCTATATGATTGTATTGCAGTGTCCTGCTCTTCCTTGGTGGGTTGTTGCCCTGAGGATTAACGGGGGTAGGGCTGGTATCTGGTGGGAGGCCTCTCTTCCTTCTGGACACCCTCAGGTTCTCACTTAGCTCTCCAGTGTCAGAGCCATTGGTCAATGGTATTTGAGCCTGAGACCTACTTGAATTTCTTCCTGAGTTCTGGAAACTGCTTAAGGTCTTGGGATTGCTATAGCAATTGGAGACTGTTCTGCGGTGGAGAGGAAGGGGGTGATTGCGATTAAACTCTTTGTTGCTTGGTTGCCTGGAGAGGTGTTTGTTGTTGGTTGCCTTGGTTCTGCTTTGGGAAGGGCCTTTTGCCTTACAGGTACTGCCAGGCCTTGTGGAGGGTCTGGTAGATCCTCTGCTACGGACCACCGTGCTAGGCTTTAAAGGAGGGACTGACCTGACAGAGGAGGTTCTTTGTTGTGAGAATCCAGTCGCCAAGGCCACCTGTACCGGAAAGACATTATGTCAGTGTCACTATTGTAGGGTCTAAATTAGGGCTGTCAGACGAATACATTTAATCTTTATTAAAAAAGTTTTTGTTAAAGGCTTTATATGGATTCTTTGATCCAGCAGATGTCGCCCTTGAGCACCAGCATGAAACCAAAACAACTCGCGCTGCATTGTTGTGTTAGCATGCTAATGCTAGCGATCTTTATTATGCTCATATCTTCACACTGCATGTAAATTTACCTGAAATGAGCGTGATCTAGAAACGCAGTTAAGCAGTGAGTACAGTATGTTATTCTTCTTTTCTCTAGTCCCTCAATTAAACAACTTTTATACACGAGGGGAGGAGTCAGCCGGCCGTCCCGGCGATGTAAACAAACTGAAGATAGGACTCTGAAAACATCACAGACAGTGGGACTCTGGTGTTACACCCATTGTAGACAGTCATGACTCACAGAGTTATTTTCAGAGGATATACTTGATTTATATTACATTTAAGTGTGAAAAATCACATATAAAGCCTGTAACATAATGATGTGGGTAAATTGTCCCAAAGAAAGTCTGTCCACTAAATGTTCTTATTGCTCCTGCTGCCTCAATCAGTTAGTATTGTTGGGTTAAGGTTAAATCCAGCAACTCACTTAAATAACTTTCTTTGTTAAATTCAGTCTTCTAGTGCTGGGAATACAAGAAGACAGCTTTCAGACAGAACAACATGCAGGAGGAGGATCCTACCTTGTTGTTCCTCCTGACCTGTAGGGGGAGCTGGTGAGGTCTCATGAGATGTCGCTCACCTCCCTTCCTCCTGTCCTCCTCCAATCCCTTACTCCTTCTCCTCTGCTGCTCCTCCTCTCTCCTCTGCCTCTCCCTCCTCCTCTCTGCTCGGGCACTCATGGGGCAGAAGGATCCGACCTCTGCAGAACGTCCACTTCCTCTTGGAGGCCGACCGTCCCTCTGCACTGTGGGACGGCAAGAACAAACACAGACAGATGGAGGGAGGGAGGGAGGAAGAAAAGGAAATCACTCTCTCATTCTTCATGTAACTGTATTTCAGTCAATAATTGAATTCATTGTGATGTACCTGATGATCTACTGAGAACCTTCATGTTCTTTCCCTGAGCTGCAGTCCTCTGATTGGTGGAAGGAGAGGAAGTACGATGCTGTGTATTGGCTGGCTCCTTTGCTCGTCCACTCTTCAAGAAGGCCATGTTGCTAGGCAACGCAGATGAACCTAAAATGAAGGTGGAGTTATCTGGACTTGTCAAGTGAATGTGGCTGAAACAAAGTGTAATGAGTTATTTACCTCCATTAGCTAAGATGTGAGTATTTGCAGTGTACCTAAAAAAAATTTCTTACCTCTCAAGCAAAGAAAAGACAGGAAGTCCTCCGTCTTTGGTCGCCGGCGGGTCAGGCAGGTGCCTACAGCACTGTTGTGGCTGTGGTTATTTCGTGCAGATGTCATCAACACTGGAGGTCCCGGAGAGTTGGGAGGGGACTGGGCAAACTTCCTCTGAGCTCGGAGCCTCGGTCTGCACAAAACCACAAACCCATTTAGAACTTTTTTATTTCTTTGCGATTTCATCATCATCATTTATTTTATTCAAATGCTCGGAAAACACATTGAGGGAGAACCGTCATTTGCAGTGGTGCCGAGGTAAAGACAACAGTAGAAAAGAGGCAAGATACAAATAAAACAATGAACAGCAAGAATGAAACAGGAAGTACTCGCAGGGAAAATGATGTCTATGAATACTGACCTCTTGCTTGCAGGATCCTCTTTGTCATGAAGGAGGCTCACAGGGCGGCGCAGTGGAGGACCTGGTCTGCTCTGTAAGGACCGGATCCAGGTCGGACTGGCTGACAGGAGGGACTGATGCCGGCTGAGACCATTAACCACGGGGCCTTTAGAGAGATTATGAAACACTTATTAATCACTAAGAAATGGTCTCAGATAATATGGTTTGGAACAGACGTAAACATAAATATGTTAAAGGTGTAAACGTTTATTAAGCACAGGAAGTGAGGCGATCAGAAAACAAACTCTAGGAAGAGAAAACTAAGGTGTTGTGATTTCAACATGTTAACCACAGACTGTTTAAAACATGGACTGGTCTCAGTGACCTGGGGAGTTATGAAGCTTTACGATGGCGGTCGCCGGTGTTGTAGTACTTGTCAGGTCTTTGTCTCAAGACCACTTTTTGAAGGTCTCGGGCCTCGGCCTCGTCTCGGAGGCATTTTTACTCGATATTGTCTCGGAATGGGCGGACTACGAGTTGAAATGAAGACCGGTCAAGACCACCACTTAAAGGCTATTTGTCCACGTCATCACTTTGATTAGATGGAAAACGCTTCTTTCTAAAATAACAATTAACTTTAATTCATTCATAGTTCGATTTGAATCCCGATTACGACCGCAACCCTCCCTGTGTAACAGTCTCAATGAGTGACACGCCCCCTGCACACAAGATGATGATTTTTTAGTGATATTTATGGTCTTAATCTTGTCTCAGTCTTGTCCTACCTTGGTATTGGTCTTGACTCGGTCTCGATCCCTAAATGTCTTTGTCTTGCAGCACTCCATTCTCAGTCTCGGTTAGTGTGGTCTTGACTACAACTCTACGACATATTGGAAAGGATTTCTCTACCTCACTTCAGATCAATCTAGTGACAGTCAAAGAAGTGGAGCTGAGGCGGGCCTTGATACTCCTGCCAAAGAGCTACAATGCACCCACCTGTCAGTCAAAGAGGCCACGCCCCTAATTACGCAAATGTATACATTACTCTCAGACCAAGCATAATCAAAAAGGACGAGTTGAACATTCACCCCATGTTCAGTGTGTGCAATTTAAAAGAATGAGCTCCTGAGACCAAATCTGTTTTTATACAGCCGGCCTCACATCAGTTTTATTATTACTGATGGGGGGAAAAAAAGGGAAACTGAAACAATACAAGAGGAGAGCAGTGTCGCCGATGATGTCACTGACCTTTGAGCTTTGTGGGAGTTTGTGACCTCAGTGTCCGGGCCGGGGCAGGTGTGTGCGGCGGCGTGTGTGTGTTCCTCACCGAGTGTTTGTGCTGTGTGTTGTGTTTGTGTTTGAGCAGTGACGGACTGGTCTGCGTTGTGTGTGAGCGTAGAGTTCTGGTTGTCGCTGAAGTCCTCTGGAAAACATGCGAGTCCTGAACAGTGTCAGATTGTGTTTGTGTTGTGTTACGCAGTGTGTGTGTGCATTTAGTTTTTGGTGTGTGTGCATCCTGAGACGGCTGGGCTTTATGCCCTTTGTTGTTGTTGTTGTTGTTGTTGTTGTTGTTGTTGTGTTCATGATGGTGCGGATGTTTGGAAACGTGTTGATTTTTCAGCGTGTGTGTGCTCGTTGGCCTGTGTGTGACTTTCTGCTGCGGCGTTTGCACACTCTGTCGAGTGTTCGGTTGCGTCGGCGTCTTTTGCGGAGCGTGCAAGAGTGTGTTTTTGGGAGTGCGTTTGTGTGCACACGTGTGTATGTGAGAGTGTTTGTGTGTGGCACGGTTTGTGTCTCTGAATTCCCTGAGGGAGAGGAACAGAACCTTCCGGACCAGACGCTCTTCACACCACGGCATCCCGTCACTGATGTCCTGCAGAGTCACACACACAAAATATCAGCTCTGAGCACACTTTTCATCAAATAGCACAAAAAAATAGAAAAAGTAGTTGAAAGGTGTTTTGAAGTCCCTCAGACGTTGTTGTTAAAAAACGCTGTGAGCTTCAATAACCAGAGCATGTAAGATAAAGACTGAATAAAGGACATTTACATATTTCTTTTTGATGATGTTGCGTTTTGGTCTGTCTGTACTCATCTTGTCCAGCACACGCTGAGCGGCACATGAAGTACAGAAGAATCTCTCGTTCTCTTGGTTTTTTTCTCTACAGGTGTGGAAATCCCTGCGTGCAATCCTGAGAAGAGGAGAGAAAATCTGTTCAAATAGAAGGACTACAAACAGATTTATACCAAACTTACAGTGAATATAATAAAATGTTCTGTGAAACTTCAGATCACATTTATTGCATTGGTCGAAAAAAAAAGCCAGTGTTACTGCAGACAAGAGAAGAGACATGCCTGTTTCTCAGCATCATTATCAATATGTGGTCATAGTGTAAAGAAATTGCACATATACTGTTACAATGCAGGATGCACAAACTAAACGTGTGCAAAGTTTCAGATCATGAGGTAGACATATGTTGGAGTAATCCCAGGATGAGTCTGCAAAGGGCGCTAAAGCCGCTTATTTTGCAAATCACACGTTAGTTTTTCGATATGAAACAAATAATTTAAGGGGAAGGCTTCAAGCCTCTATGTAAGCGGTTGAAACCTCTTACATAGGCTCTCTTCTCCTAGCACTGGAGAGCAGCCCTCCCCTGGCAGCCCTGCAGCGTTGTGCCCTCCTGAAGGCTTCCAGAGAGTTGGCCAATCAGAAGCAAGTGGGCATAAGGGGAGGGGGGCCTTAAAGAGACAGTCGCTGAAATGAGGGATATTACTGACGCCCAAGACTTGTGTAAATCAGTGAAACTTCTTGTGATGAAAGATACAACAGAAAACTTAAAGAACTTAGTTTTTTTTCGATTCTCTGATTTTTTGAAATTGTCAAAATCCAAAACAAAAAATGCCAACCAGAATTTACATTTTTAGACACTTCAAATCTATTATTACCCCTTTACCTTTTCTGAAGATTGTTTCCTTTTTAATATAGGGTTCAGAGCTCGGTTCAGGGGTAGACCAGAGACTCCTGCGTTTGGCAGGGCAAACAAACTGCTTTAGTTGAACTGGACTTGCGTGCGAGTTACTTAAACAAGAGGACAAATCACTAAATTGCGAAAGCGTTTTGATTGAGTAATTTGTCTACCCGTTTTATTCTTATTACGCGAAAACATTTTATAAATTGCGCAGGCTTTTTAGTAACTTTATTCAAAGAAATCAAACTGAACTAACTCACGTGCAATTTATAAAACGAGCGCAGAAATACAAATAAAATGATAAAAGAAATGACTAAATAAAGTGTGCAACTTATATTGCATGTCACCTTTCGGGCTCCGTATGACACAGATATGGTTAGATTTCTACTTTTTGTCCTATGGAGGTTGAGATATTGTGACACTCCTAATTAACATATTGTTATTTTCTGTGAATTGAAACTGTGATAAAAAGCAGAAGTTTAAACTGTCCATGATGCCACAGGTTAACGCAGTAAGGCCAGGTGTGCAGGTCTGGTGACACACCTTCCTCTATTTCTCCTGACTGACAGGTCACCAATTACAATATGCTGCTTTTTCTTTTGACTGCTGCTGAATCCATGACACTCACTCACCCGGCTGAGAACAGATTTAAACACATAAGAAGGTGCTGGTAATTTAATTGGGTTAACAAGAAGCTTCCTCTTTAACCAGAGAGAGCCCGGCACATAATCAGAACCCGGGTTGATGAGGAGAGTCCGGCCTACATTGGCTCCATCACACCGCCACACGGCTCCGTCTGTTACCGTGCAGACTGCTCGGTGTCGGTACATGCACGACAGTCTGATCGGTGTGTACATCCCTGCAGACTTCTGACAGTACATGTGTGAGAATATTAAAGCGGATTTCTCCGTTTAACTGAAACAAAGCAGCACATGAACACGTTATTCCCTCACCTCCCTCCTGCAGGATCACCGGCCTACATCCTGAGATACACCGTGAGGGGATCAGACCCGCTCACACAGCAGAACCCCTGCGGCAGGCACCGACACGGTCAACCCCAACCCCCGGCTCCCCGGCGGGTCTTTATCACCGAGCCGAGCCGCTCAGAGTCCACACCTGCACGGACTGTTCGGCTGCAGGGAGGCGGCACTCTGCGCTCCTGTCAGCCGCCGTTTCAGAACCAAGGCCAGCCCCGGTTACATCTCACTGCGCGTCTATTACCGTGACTACGACCCGTCCAGACAATGAGAGACTTCCTGGTGGCTCCCAGAGCATTAATGATGCATTGGTCATGTGACACGGAAATCGACCGAGGTCCCCGATCTCTGGAGAGCTCTTAAAGGCCGACTACCTGATTTCATCGTTAGCCCCCCCTCCATCCAGTCACCACCCCCAAATCAGTCCGTAAAACCCTACAAAAACAACTACAGCTAACGTTTGAATTCTGATGCGCGTCTATACGTGCAATTAAGGTAAACGCGCTTCCAGCTTCCGAAATGTCAGCAATTTTTTTTATTAAACATTTCTTGCAAATGTACAAATGTAAAAAAACAAATACAAAATATGGTTACATTCTGTACAGCATTGCCAAGGGAAACAGCTGTCATGTCAATAATTAACAGTACATAATTTTAACATGTAGAAATGAAATGACAATGTCTTAAATGAATATAAGAAAAAAATAAAAAATAAATAAAATAAGATAAACAATGAATCAAATATAAGGGAATATCAGTTTTCAGTTTCTATTTCATTGGGAAAGTTTCTTCAAAATATCATAAACTGTTTGTGCTATTTTTCCTTTTACAAATTTTAAGGACTTGAGGTACAATTTAAATTCATTCAAAAAACAGACAAATTTGGGGGATGACTTTAAAAATCTAGTTTTGTGTATGAATAATTTTGCAGCAATTTTTCACGGAATAAATGATCGATACTTTGATATATCGATCAAGAGAAGATTCATTCACATCCACTGGGATCTTCTTTAATTGTTTAAGGATTGTAGGATTCCCAATTATGAATCATTTGTCATAATCTGAGCATGGTAGACGACAGGAAGTGTGCAGGTCAATTAGGGGAATTTAGTACCATTTTATATTTTTATCTTCCCTAATTTAATTTAAAAAAGTGCTTGTATTATTTTTGCTTGTTTGTTAATATTATTTCCTAGAAGTTCTGTGTGAGGTTTATTCAACGATGATGAAGTTTGATATTCAATAACCCTAAATGAAGTTGGAAAAATTACATTGGAACAAGGAATGGGCAAAGTTTTAAAGATTTATTGAAGAAACTTTTATTAGCCGTCTTATCAGATCGGCACTGATCACAAAATTCTTGATTTAAAATACCCAGCTTGGTTACAAACTTTGCAGTTTAGAAAATCTAAATCTAAAAGTCTATTCACTTTTAAAACAACTTTCGCAGATGAGATCCATGGATGTATTATTGAAGTGGAAGATTCCTGTTCATTCATATGAAAGCTGCTCAGATGTGCATGAAGAAAAATAAGTCTGGCCTTTCAAGTTCACAAGTACCTGGATCTCCAGGGTACTTTTACATGTGGAAGTCAGACTTTTTTGGGGCACAGTCCTGCAGCCCTGATGCACTTTTATTAACCTGTAAAAGGGTTATTTAGGGTGTTCATATTGGGAAGTTGATGCACACTGTCTGCCTACCCCACATAATGGCAGAGCTAAAATGTTGGACAAGGAGGGCATCACTCGTAAGAAGAAATATTTAAAACATGTTTAAGCCTCTCAGTGAAACATGAACCAGCTGAAGGAATGAGTGAACTTTGTATCTCGTACCCTGTGCCCTAACTCTCAGGGAGATCTTTTGGAGAGTGCCCAAAAGCACACAATTAATCCACAGGGGTACCTCAGGGGTCAGTGCTCAGTCCCCTTCTCTTCTCCATATACACCACCTCACTTGATGCAATGATCCGCTTTCATGTCTTCTCATACCACTGCTATGTTGACGATATCCAGTTCTTGCTGTCATTCACACCAGACAACGTAACAGTCTCAGAAAGAATTTAAGCATACCTTGCTGATATCTCTAAATGGATAAATGAACACTACCTTCAACTCAACCTCTCAAAGATTGAGTTCCTTCCAGTCCATCCCAGCCAGTCCATCTATTCAACCACAGAGAAACATTGGCATAACCAATCCCATGCCAACAAAGTAGTAAACAGCCATGGCTCTGAAAACAAAGTTTTTATTTTCATTAATCAGGCGAGGATAAAAAATCCAATTTTGTTATACTTTTCAGTTCAACCTTTTTGGTCCCACTCACAATGAATTCACCAGTAACTTGTGTGTGCGTGTGTTTTTCCTATGTCTAAATATTCAGATTCACCGTACAACAGTGGTGTCCAAACTTTTGGTTAAACAACAGTCCGCTTGTTTGCAAAAACTTTGAATACGTTTGTTTTTCATAGTTTACAAAAAAAATGGAAAATAGTAAAAGCTGTAGATTTTAAAAAAAAAAAACAACAACATACATGTTACTGAACATTTTATATTTTAGGAATATTGTTCAGCCCTTGCTAACATGAAAAAGAAAAATAAGATAATGTGCCAATCTTAATCAAGGACAATCAATCAATCAAGGACAGCCCTGCCGTACAACGTCGTTGTGTCCAATCACTCAGCAGGTGAGCAGGTGTTTATAATGGTGAGTCGCACGTTCAGCTCAGGTCAGACCTCTTCGTGCTCTTCATCGCGTCATGTCGCTGGTCGCGTGCCTTCTCTGGACTGTGTTCAGTGGGTCACTGGGAGGTCCGGTTCAGGTGACTAATTCTCCATTCTACCACCTGCCCATGTTCCTGGACGCACCAGAGCCGGTTGTAGCGCAGGAGCTGTTTCTGCCGGTCCCTCATAGGAGACCTGTCCCCGCCGGGATCACCTCGCTGCTGTTACCGGTGAAGAGACCGCAGCAGAGCGTGCAGGGGACCGGTCCACGCGCTGTGGAGGTCTTCTGTGGGGGTGATCAGATATTTGTGCGCGTGGATCGCTTCCAGGTGCGCTCCTGGACCAACCCGTACCTGTTCAGACTGGGAACATGCCGAGTCAGCAAAGTCAACCCGCGTTTTCTTTATTTCCATGACAGACTGACCGAGTGTGGAGGAGAGTCACAGGTAAGGACACGATTTCCTTGTTGTTGATATGTTTGATGATGAAGAAATTCGCCGTTGAGTCTGACTTGCTTTCAAAGAGTATAATTTTATTTAAGCAAGAAACAGAGTCACTGGTCACGTCTGACCAGGAGGATCAAGAAGCTAAATAATGATCTCTCCCGAACATACAGAGACAATCGCCTATATGCATCTAAACATCTGCTTTTCTTCATGGGTCATAAAAAACATCATGTAACACATCCATATTTGGCAATACTCCTACACAACACCTCAATGTAAACATTCAACTTGAGGGGACTCCAACATCTCCTTCAGATACAAACTCTCTCCAGATGTGCACGTTATAAACTTAAAGGAGCAGTATATTATCTCTGTCCTAGTTACGTCAGACACAAACACCATCACATGCTTTTACTTTGAAATGTCCATACTGATACATTGAATTCAATCAGATCAAAAGTTAAACCAAAGTTAAATGATCTTATTTTATTTATTTGTTAGGGACAGTGCATATTAATGAACAGCTGTAACAATTACAGCTGGAAAAATGTCAGATTATTGCAGAAGTGCTGGTTTCCATCTGTTGTCCCTAGGCAGGTAACAGAGAAAGATAAAATACAAAGGCACAAGTGACACAAGACAATAATAGAGGTTAAAGGTTAAAGGTGGTCACAGACTTGGTTTTCTTTCATTTACTGTTTGAGGTGTGTTTTGAAGATTGCATATGTTTGAGTCTCTTATTGTGAGTGGGAGAATATTCCAATATTTAGTTCCTTTGACTGACAGAACAGTTTATCTGTATGGGGCCTCGCAGTCTCCTCGGGCTGTGGCCCCTGGTGCCGATCCCACTGGCAGACTTCAGCTTTATGAAGTCCTTCAAAGGAGGAGGAGCAAGTCTGTGCAAAATTTTATATATAAAACATGCATTTTTAAAATGAACAAAATTATGATCTGCATTGGTCTTTAAAGTTGGTGTCTATTGGAAACATGTAGGCTAGACATGTGGAGAATTATAGCTTTAAAAAAGATATAAAGCCTATATGTTCTAGCCAAACTAACAATTTAAAACTTCAAATTAACACTTAACTAACTTATCAAATCAGATGTAGATGAGCAAGTCCTGCATGTGTACAGTTACACTGAAATATAATTTCAAACATTGTAATTTCATCAATCTAAATTTTACTTGTAACATGTAAAAAAAATACATGTGTGTGTGTATATATATTAAAAAATATTATTTTACAAACAGCTGGCACACAGAAAAAGAAAATATTTATAAAGTAAGAAAAGAAACAGACTTACTAAATTCCACAAACTCTCCAGTGCCTAGTTGGTGACGTGTGCACATGTGCAGTTAGCCTACTTTCCAGTTGAGTGACCATCACGCATGTTTGATAGCTGCGTTTGAGCGATCAACACAATAATGTGTTTATCTTTTTCTAAACATCGAAGATAGATCTAAGAAAGATATCGGCAGATAAATCGGTAAAAAGGACTTGAAAACTCTCCTTGAAAGAGCCTTCTCATAAAGACCTTTTCCCTTAAACCACTGCTTTTAGATCTTGTTTTATGCTTAGGTTCTTAACTCTGATTTTACCTTTGACTATTGCCACTGTTTTTATGGTTTTATTGAAATTGTAGCACTTTGAGATTTTCGTTTAAATGTAAAGTGTGTTATAAATAAAATGTATTATTCTCCTCATATTAATATCAGTATCTGTCCCAGAAATCCCATGTTAGTCGGGCAAAATGATTCCCAGGTTTCATAATACTAGAATCTCCCTCTTGATGATGAAATCCACATTAAGATCTTTTTTTTTTAAAAATGATTGGAAAGCTGAATTTGATCATTTCTGATTTGTGCCTCTCAGATTGTTGGTGGGCAGCTGGTGTACTCCTTCACTCTGTCTTATACTCCTCCTCCTCCACAAGGCTTCGCCATCAGAGTCATACCTCTGACACTTCCCATTCACTGCCATTACAACAGGTAACTATTACAACTATTGCATTAGGCCCTTCAGCATCGTACTGCTCAGTTTGGTCTCTTGTGTCTAAAGCTTCTATTCTGTTACCCGGTGTCCTGCAGAGGGTCTGCAGTCATTGAGACCTTTAGTCCACATTCAGAGATAAAGAGGCTTCTACAGGACGTCGACGTGAGACTGAATGAATTGGTGGAAAGAATAGCCAGTGTTACTGCAGAGAAGTGAAGAGACGCACCTGTTTCTGAGAATCACTATTAAAGGGGTCATTTGCTTTTTCTGGTTTTATATGCTCTTTAGTGTGTTTTCCATGTGTCCTGTGCTTCTCCTACGTCCTCCTGTTAGCTGCAGCGTTAGCTGCAGCGTTAGCTGCAGCATTAGCTGCATGTAACGCTCGGTTCTAGCCCCCCTCAAAACATTTGCCAGTGTGACATCTTGTCAGTGTGATATCACTGATCTGAGCCCATTGGCTCGTTGTGGTAAGCCCAGCAGCTCATGTTGCACGCCCGTTAACTTCTGTCGCACGCCCACGATATGAGGTAGCCTGCGATAGCACAGTAGTGCTAAGGCGCTAATGTTTTTGCTCCCCTCAGCGCCAAAGTGGCTGCATTCCCAATATGGTTAAAGGGGCGGGACATTTCCGGGAACGGTGCTGAGCCGACAGGCCGACCAATCAGATCAGACTTGGCACACGTGGGGACTCTGAACGTGGGCACTTCAGAGCCTTGGAGAGAGAGTCAGAAGCGAGCAGGTGCATGGAGCGGCAGTTCATGAAAACAGACACTTTTTTTAGAGCTTTAGCTTTTGTGAACATACTTTAGTAGGTACATAGATTAAATATATGAACCCCAAAAAGGGCAGAATATGACCTCTTTAAAGTTGGGTCATGGTGTTAAAAAATATCTTAAAGTTGACGTGCTGTTCTGATCCCCATCTTAAAACTCATGTATAGTGTTTGTCCACACTAAATGTGGATAAAGTTTCAGCTCATGAGGTAAACACAGTTTAACATTGGGGTAATCCCAGGATGAGTCTGCAGGGGGCGCTAAGTGGCTTGTTCTGCAAATCACAGCATAGTTCGCTGATATGAAACTGAGAATTTCACAAGACAGCGTTGAGTTATGTAAGCCGGTGAAGTCGTTTACATTAATTCTCTTCTCCCAGCACTGGAGAGCAGGACTCACCTGGCAGCCCTGCAGCATTCTGCCCCCCCCCCCCCCAGAGAGCTGACCAATCAGAAGAAAGGGGGCACGTAGGGGAGGCTGAAATCAGGGTTTTTACTGAAGCCAGTATATCAGTTTTTTGAGAGCTGTAAAGCTGCTCTACAGGTTTCACAGACTGACATGAAAGTGAACATGGGATCTTTAAAGCACAAAGTCTAATTGTGATATCTGTTTCAGGTTTCACTACTTGTACAAAGTCGGCTTCAGACCTCAAGTCCAGCACAAGACGATTCTGAAGAGCATCAGGAGTAAACTGAGCTTCAGCCTCACCGTCTGTAACGGTAACGTTTATGCATGATGACATGTTAAAGGGGTGTTTTGATATTTTTAGAATATAGGTCCTAATGTTTGTACAAACTCTATAGGGTCTAGAATGTCTTAATGGGGTAATTTACATGCAGACATTTGAGTGATGGGATGATATCTTGGAGAGGATAATATGTGACCTTTTAAAACTAAAGCCTGTTGCTTTCTGAAAGATGGATTTTCATTTATTCGACAGAGCATTGGGAGCCTGTCCCTGCGGGTCAAGAGTTCGTTTTGGGGGAGTTGGTGTATTTCATTGCCCAGAGCAGAGTTCTGTTGCCGGAGAGAGTCTGTACGTGGACTCCTGCTATGCCACCAGCTCCAAAGACCCGCACAGCCAGCCCAGAGTCGACATTATCACCAACTATGGGTGTGTTTTTAATCAGTAACACATGATACAGATGGGTTTTATTTTTTATTTTACTGTCACTACTCTGCTGCTTTACATGAGCTTCTTGTGTTTGACTGCAGCTGTATGACAGACAGCAGGAGGGAAGGCAGCAGCTCATACTTTCTGTCTGCAGGGGGCGCCGTGCTCAAGTTTTCTGTGGACGCTTTACTCTTCAGGGCGGTCTCACAAGTAAGAAACAATCTAACAGCACACACACTTTTTTTAATTTTAATTTTTTTTACACTTATTCTGACTGGAAATTTCCACAAAAAGTCACAAGTGTAAATAATTTATACTTTTTTTGAAGCCTTTGTTTTGGTTATTTTCTCCCATGCGTTTCACTGAATATCTGTTCTGTTGTTTCCTGTTTTGGTTACAGGTGTTGTATCTCCACTGCTCGATGTCAGTCAGTCTCACTACCTCTTACGTCTCAAAGTCCTGCAACTACAACACCACTGCTGGCAGGTAAGCTTGAGTGAAACTGAACATCACATCATTCAAGAATCTCTAATATTTGTTTGTACGTTTTAAGAGAGGAAATTTAGAATCCTGCATAGACATGGAAATAACTAGCATAGTCATTTTTAAGAGGGTGTTATGATGTCATGGTTTTACTACAAATCAAGCCTGATGACGCCCCACTCTTGTGATAAGGCACAAAGATGCACCTAGAAAAACCTTCACTTCTTCTCCAAGTTTCAAAAAGTCTCAGAGCTCCCCAAAACATGTGTGAAGTTTCTTGTTCTAAATCCACTCTGATCCTGTATTTGATCATGTCTATAAACCCCTCTATTTCAGCCCTGCTCAGAACAGGCTGTTTCTGTGTCTGTACCTTTAAATATGTAAATGAGCTGTGTCTGACCACACCCCCTCTCTGGAAGACGCTTGGGTGTACTAGGTGCATTCTCGCTCCATGTCCCATTGTTTACGGTGGGAAGGCAGACTCAGAGGGCAGAACAAACACCTAGCTGTGGGAGTGACACCCACCTGGGGGAGGGGCTACTGCCCTTTGTGATGTCATGAAGGGAAAATTTTCAAACGGCCTGTTTCAGCGAGGAGAGGATGGTCTTTTCTCATAAGTGTGAAGTATATTTTGCGTCATATGTGACCTTTTATATCAACATTTTCTTTTGTACCCAATGTTGGCATCAAATTGTTAGTTTGAGCACTAAAATTGTCAAACTTCCCCACGTTGTTGTTCTGATACTAAGGATTCTGTTTTGTCACTTCACGCCTGTAGGTGGGAGGAGCTTGAAGCCTCGCCCTCAGTGTGCTCGTGCTGTGACTCCACGTGCACCGATGGACAGGACGGTGAGTTCAGAACCTCCAATGTTGAAAATTGAAGTCAATGTGGAGGTGTAGAAAACTGCAGTACCTCGATTGTCCACTTGAGGCTGGATCCATAAGCCTCAGAAGTCCCACTAACAACCATATTAAAATATTATTATTTTTTTTTTTTACAGAAGATTAAACATGTTTACAACCTCAATTATGGTTAAAAGTAATATTTTGTTTTCTTTCAGTGATTAAGAACACAGTCAGCAGTCAGGGCTGGTTCATCGGACAAAACGCCGAACAGAAACCGAGAATGAGGGCGAGTTCTCTCCAAGCAGACGAGCAGAGAGAGGAGGAGGGAGGAGGAGAAGGAGGACGATGTAAGGATTAAGGAGGACTTTAGAAAACTGCGGTCTTTGCCACCGGAGACAAATATCAACAGCGATGAGGGGAAAGACGAAGCGGTTTCTGAAAAGATGCCTGAGTTAGATGAGAGGAAGGAGTGGAGGAACAGTTCTGCAGTCAGCCACCAGGGGGAGAGAGAAACAGAAGAGGAGGTGAAGCAGGAGGACAACCAGATGAAAGAATTGGAAGCAGACGTAATCATTTTGTCAGAGCAGACTGAGAAAGCGGGAAATGAATCAGTCTCTGGTGCATTAAATAGTTCTGAATTCATTGAGAAAAGCAGCATTAATGTGCAAAGAGATTATTCTGGAAACAAAACTTTCTCTGCAACAAATTCCAGTTTTGTCATTGATTCTTTCAACACAAGTTCCCCTGCTGGAAATGTTTCCACAGCTGCAGCGCTTTGTCCCGAAGGTGATCACATGAATTGTAGTTCTGCCGACGACGGGGTTGAAAGTTATCCTTCTGGTTCCACGAATGCAGCTGTTGGTGCCGATCTCCCGTCTAAAGATAGAGCTCCATCTGATCTCGGTAGATCTGGTTCTTTGGGATTCAAGCGTCCGAGCGAGTCCGCTTGGCAGTGGACTTGAGACCTTATCTGAGTCAGAGCAGGCCAAGTCTGCTAATAAATCATTTGACACAGAGTCCAGCCAGATAGCAGAGCTGGCAGACGACTCTGAGGACAGTAAAGGACCGGACGGAGATGATGAAAAGCTTCACAGTCTACCGATCAGAGAGTTAGAACCAGATTCTCATCCTGCCGGGTTCAGTGGTCTAATCAGCAGGTTACTCGGCAATTCTGGTTTTGAGTCTGGACTGAAAGACGATGAAGCCCTTCATCACCTGGGTCAGTTTACTGAAGCAGCAGAGCCCCAGAAAGAGTTTCCTGGAAGAGCACACAGTCTGAGTTCTGGTCTTGTTGGATCAGAGCAGCAGGACAACCCGGGTCATTCCTCTGTGGTGACGGTGACTGAATCCTTTCCCAGCTCCGAGAGCAGCAGCATGTTTGACTGGAAGTGGGCGGTGGCCAAGTCTGATTGGGGTTTAGAGTACATGATGAAAAAGCCGATGGAGGGCTAAATGATTTACAGAAACCAAAAGTTTTGGATTTACTCCGGTTGACGCTGTTGGCCCGCAGCAGTGAACCAGGCTGTTATGGTTGAAGGTAATGACAATGTGTGTCTGCTGAAGGTGCTTGTTCTTGTCACAGAGGATCAGATTGTCATGACAACACAGATGAAACTTTGTGTTGTTTGAACAAGAAACCGCTGTTGCTCACTGTCCTTCGAAGACACCAGACTAACATTAACAGGACTTTTACCTCCCAGAACTCAAGATTAACAGCTGCCTGGATCAGTTAGTTCATATGTTATGTGTTGGATCCAAAGGCCAAGGTCAGACAATAGCGCAAATGAAACAACTGATCGAGGCAGAATAGACGAGCAACTCTTCTGCTCTGTGAGGGGAAAATGACCGGTTTTGTCAATGCCGCCTGTTGTCTCTAGAGAGAGTGACGTAACGGCTGTTTCTGATTTAAAGGAACATTAAAGGTCTCTCTGTCAGGATCCTTTATGTAACGTCGGACACTTAGCAATTTGAATTGGAAGTGTTTGCCTTTTAGGATGAAGTCGCAGCCATTACAGTTGCACGGTTGCTTTCAAGGCAAATAAAACATTTTGTCAATCAGCAGTTTTTTTTTTTGTATGGAAGTCCTTTTTATTATAACGTTTTCTCAAGAGAAATTAACTCGCTATCACGGGGGAACCCTGCGTTGATATTACAAGATAAGTGGAGATGTTGTTCTTGTCACAGCAACATGGCGCAAAATAAGTACATTACATGCATGTCAACATGGAGTGTTTGTTGTTTAGACGCCAAATCACTAACAATAGAGTGCAGGATTTAAAAACGACAGGACCTCCCTAAAAAAGAACCTAAGTGTTGATGAACCAAATATGGATTATTGTGTTTACTCTGCTGAATATCTGGACCCGGGTTGGACTTTCAGTCTTACTGTCAGCATTGGAACTCAACAAAACGCTGGAGAAACCGTTGTTCATATGGCTGTCATCATGTAGATAATGTAGATCACTATTAAACTCCTCGCTGAAAATCTACATCAGACTGTGACATCATTTTTAATCTGTGTGGGTAAAGCTCGTTAGTGAGAGCTTGTTTTTTACCATTTTAAAGGACGTCTGGAAGTATCCCCAGCTTCTGAAAATATTACTAATATAGGCTAAGACTTATTGATCACCAGAGGAGAAATTCGGGTGTTGCGTTGGCACAAAGACAAGGAGCAGTAGGTAGTCGGAGCTGCTGAAAAACAAGCTGCCAACTCGCAATGCTCAGAAGGATTTTGTTTATGCACTTTTTTTATTTACAACTTATCAAATTCACCACTTTTTTTTTTTTTTATTTACTTGTTCTCTGAAGTCAGAACACATGATAACTGGTCTCATATCAGGCAAACTAAGGGGCGTCCAAAACGGCGGTGTGGGGGGTGAACATCAGAACTGAAGAATCTATTGAATCTTATATAAAATCGCTGCTCAAGACAAACCTCAATGTTGGTTTTAATACAAGTTGAGCTTGACATGTTATTATGCTCCTCTCTATTTTATTGAGCTTTTTTTTTTTCATATTCATCTTTTTATATAATTTTTTTTTAACCTGTGCAGCGCTGTGTCTACCCAGCTGGGTTTTTTTTCAATGGGTTGCAGAAAGCAGCCGCCTGAAAGCCCAGCGTGTTTTTTTCCGAGCACTCTGCCTTTTTTGTATGGATGCTGTCAACAGACTGTTGTCATAGTAACAGGACGAACGTGCAGCACTTTCCTTCATCACAGAAAGACGACATAGAGTGAGATAAGTGCATCAAATAGAAAGATAAAGACTTATGAGCGTAAATCATGACGAGAATTAAAGATAAACAGCATAATCATGAGCAGAGGTTTATATTCTGGTATATCTCTTGTATTGAGGGTGATTTTATTTATTAAAGGTTTTCACAGAAAAAGTTCGTGGTCACCTGGAAACAAAAATATTTTATCAGTTTGTTTTGTAAGATCTCTAATGTTAAGATCAATAAATAAAACACCAGCTGGACAGACTGTGCAGGATTTTAAGTTGAAGGAGATTTTACCCTCATCTTTAATCAGGCGAGGATAAAAATCCTATTTTGTTATACTTTTCAGTTCAACCTTCTGGGTCCCACTCACAATGAATTCACCAGTAACTTGTGTGTGTGTCTTTCCTATGTCTAAACATTCCGATTCACCGTACAATGTCGTTGTGTCCTGATACGTGTCCGATCACTCAACACGTGAGCAGGTGTTTATAATGAAGGCGAGTCCCGCGTTCAGCTCAGACCTCCTCGTGCTCTCGTCCTCTCGTCATGTCGCTGGTCGCGTGCATTCTCTGGACTTTGTTCAGTGGGTCACTGGGAGGTCCGGTTCCGGTGACTGATGAGGTCCAGACATACCACCACCTGCCCATGTTCCTGGACGCACCAGAGCCGGTTATAGCGCAGGAGCTGTTTCTGCCGGTCCCTCATAAGAGACCTGTCCCCGCCGGGATCACCTCGCTGCTGTTACCGGTGGAGAGACCGCAGCAGAGCGTGCAGGGGACCGGGACCCGCGCTGTTGAGGTCTTCTGTGGGGGTGATGGGATACGCGTGGATCGCTTCCAGGTGCGCTCCTGGACCAACCCGTACCTGTTCAGCCTGGGAACATGCCGAGTCACCAAAGTCACCCCGCGTTTTCTTTATTTCCATTACAAACTGACAGAGTGTGGAGGAGAGTCACAGGTAAGGACATAAACACTTATTTTATTTATTTATTTGTTAGGGACAGTGCATATTAATGAACAGCTGTAACAATTACAGCTGGAAAAATGTCAGATTATAGCAGAAGTGCTGGTTTCCATCTGTTGTCCCTAGGCAGGGAACAGAGAAAGATAAAATACAAAGGCACAAGTGACACAAGACAATAATAGAGGTTAAAGGTGGTCACAGACTTGGTTTTCTTTCATTTACTGTTTGAGGTGTGTTTTGAAGATTGCATATGTTTGAGTCTCTTATTGTGAGTGGGAGAATATTCCAATATTTAGTTCCTTTGACTGACAGAACAGTTTATCTGTATGGGGCCTCACAGTCTCCTCGGGCTGTGGCCCCTGGTGCCGATCCCACTGGCAGACTTCAGCTGTATAAAGTCCTTCAAAGGAGGAGGAGCAAGTCTGTGCAAAATTTTATATATAAAACATGCATTTTTAAAATGAGTGACACTGAAATATAATTTAAAACATTGTATTTCAATCCATCTAAAGAAACACACTTACTAAATCCCACAAACTCTCCAGTGCCTAGTTGGTGATGCATGCACATGCGCAGTTAGCCTACTTTTCAGTAGAGCGATCAACACAATAAATGTGTTTATCTTTTTCTATCTCTAAACATCGAAGATAGATTTAAGAAAGATATCGGCGGATAAATCGGTAAAAAGGACTTGAAAACTCTCCTTGAAAGAGCCTTCTCATAAAGACCTTTTCCCTTAAACCACTGCTTTTAGATCTTGTTTTATGCTTAGGTTCTTAACTCTGATTTTACCTTTGACTATTGCCACTGTTTTTATGGTTTTATTGAAATTGTAGCACTTTGAGATTTTCGTTTAAATGTAAAGTGTGTTATAAATAAAATGTATTATTCTCCTAATATTAATATCAGTATCTGTCCCAGAAATCCCATGTTAGTCGGGCAAAATGATTCCCAGGTTTCATAATACTAGAATCTCCCTCTTGATGATGAAATCCACATTAAGATCTTTTAAAAAAAAAAATGATTGGAAAGCTGAATTTGATCATTTCTGATTTGTGCCTCTCAGATTGTTGGTGGGCAGCTGGTGTACTCCTTCACTCTGTCTTATACTCCTCCTCCTCCACAAGGCTTCGCCATCAGAGTCATGGCTCTGACACTTCCCCTTCACTGCCATTACAACAGGTAACTATTACAACTATTGCGTTAGGCCCTTCAGCATCGTACTGCTCAGTTTGGTCTCTTGTGTCTAAAGCTTCTATTCTGTTACCCGGTGTGCTGCAGAGGGTCTGCAGTCATTGAGACCTTTAGTCCACATTCAGAGATAAAGAGGCTTCTACAGGACCTCGAAGTGAGACTGAATGAATTGGTGGAAAGAATAGCCAGTGTTACTGCAGAGAAGTGAAGAGACGCACCTGTTTCTGAGAATCACTATTAAAGGGGTCATATGCTTTTTCTGGTTTTATATGCTCTTTAGTGTGTTTTCCATGTGTCCTGTGCTTCTCCTACGTCCTCCTGTTAGCTGTAGCATTAGCTGCATGTAACGCTTGGTTCTAGCCAATCAGATCAGACTTGGCACACGTGGGGACTCTGAACGTGGGCACTTCAGAGCCTTAGAGAGAGAGTCAGAAGCGAGCCGGTGCATGGAGCGGCAGTTCATGAAAACAGACACTTTTTTTAGAACTTTAGCTGTTGTGAACATACTTTAGTAGGTACATAGATTAAATATATGAACCCCCAAAAGGGCAGAATATGACCTCTCTAAAGTTGGGTCATGGTGTTAAAAAAGATCTCAAAGTTGACCTGCTGTTCTGATCCCCATCTTAAAACTCGTGTATAGTGTTTGTCCACACTCAACGTGGATAAAGTTTCAGCTCATGAGGTAAACACAGGTTAACATTGGGGTAATCCCAGGATGAGTCTGCAGGGGGCGCTAAGTGGCTTGTTCTGCAAATCACAGCATAGTTCGCTGATATGAAGCTGAGAATTTCACAAGACGGCGTCGAGTTATGTAAGCCGGTGAAGTCATTTACTTTGACTCTCTTCTCCCAGCACTGGAGAGCAGGACTCACCTGGCAGCCCTGCAGCGTTCTGCCTCCCAGAGAACTGACCAATCAGAAGAAAGGGGGCATGTAGGGAAGGCAGAGGCTGAAATCAGGATTTTTACTGAAGCCAGTATATCAGAAAGAGTTTTTTGAGAGCTGTAAAGCTGCTCTACAGGTTCCACAGACTGACAACATGAAGACAAGGCAAGTTTATTTATGTCGCACATTTCAACAACAAGGTAATTCAAAGTGCTTCACACAAGACATCAAAAGCATCATGACAGAGGAAAGAAAAGAAACATTAAAATAGAACATTAAAAAATCACTGAAATTATTAAATCTGAACATATGTTCAAATACAAATAATTCAAATGAAATTAATTGAAATAAATAAAGTAAAAATATAAAAAGAGTTAAAAGTTACAGTGCAGAGTTAACATTTAAAATCTTATTAAAGCTATTTAGTGAAAGGCAGCTGTAAACAGTTGTGTCTCTTCAACCTCGATTTAAAAGAGCTGAGAGTTTCAGCAGACCTGCCGTTTTCTGGGAGTTTGTTCCAGATATAAGAGCATAGAAACTGAACGCTGCTTCTCCATGTTTGGTTCTGACTCTGGGGACAGAGAGCAGACCAGTCCCAGACGACCTGAGCGGTCTGGATGGTTCGTAATTAATCAGGAGGTCACTAATGTATTTTGGCCCTAAACCTTTAAGCGCTTTATAAACCAGCAACAGGACTTTAAAGTCTATTCTCTGACAGACTGGGAGCCAGTGTAAAGACCTCAGAACTGGACTGATGTGATCCATTTTTTTGGTTTTGGTGAGGACTCCAGCAGCAGCATTCTGGATCAGCTGCAGTTGTCTGACTGATTTTTTTAGGCAGACCTGTAAAGACACTGTTACAGTAATCAAGACGACTGAAGATAAAAGCATGGAGTTTTCCAGGTCCTGCTGGGACATAAGTCCTCTAATTCTTGATATGTTCTTCAGGTGGCTGACTTTGTAATTGTCTTAATGTGACTTTTAAAATTGAGGTCTGAGTCCATCACTACGCCCAGATTTCTTGCCTGGTCTGTGGTTTTGAGTCTTACTGACTGAAGCTGATTGCTGACTCTTAGTCGCTCCTCCTTTGCTCCAAAAACAACAACCTCAGTTTTGTCTTTGTTTAGCTGGAGAACATTTTTGCACATCCACTCATTTATTTGCTCTATGCATTTACCCAGTGCTTTTATGGGACCATGGTTGCCTGGCAACATTGTTATATATATTTGTGAGTTGTCTGCGTAGTTATGATAACTTACTTTATTGTTTTTTATAATCTGAGCTAGTGGGAGCATGTAGAGGTTAAACAGAAGAGGCCCCAGGATGGAACCTTGGGGAACTCCACAAGTAATTTTTGTTTGCTCAGATTTGAAGTTACCTATAGACACGAAGAAGTCCCTGTCCTTTAAGTAGGATTCAAACCAGTTTAGTACTGTGCCTGAAACTCCCACCAAGTTTTCCAGTTGGTCGAGTAATATATTGTGGTCAACTGTGTCGAACGCAGAACTGAGATCAAGTAAAACTAAGACTGAGGTTCTGCCACTGTCTGTGTTTAAACGGATGTCATTAAACTCTTAACCAGAGCTGTCTCAGTGCTGTGATTTTATCTGAAACCTGACTGGGAGACATCGAAACAGTCGCTCAATGTCAAGAAGTTATTTAACTGTTGAAAAACAGCTTTTTCGATTATTTTACTTAAAAAAGGAAGATTTGATATAGGCCTGTAATTGTTCATTATTGACTTGTCTAGGTTGTTATTTTTTAATAGTGGCTTGATGACTGCTGTTTTCAGGGCCTGTGGGAAGACACCTGAGAGAAGAGACAGGTTTACAATTTGTAACAGATCTGGAGCCATGACTTGGGAAACTTTTTTGAAAAAACCTGTTTGCAGAATATCAAGACAGCAGGAGGAGGAATTTAATTGTTGTATAATGTCCTCTAGGTTTTTAAGGTTGATTTGATTAAATTGTGTCAAGGTGCTTAAGTTGTTTTTAAATGGACACAGCACATATCCTGATGATGAGTTACAGACAATTTGCCTAATTTTCTGGATTTTTTCAGTAAACAAGTTGGAAAATGTATTACAGGCCCTGGTAGAATGAAATTCAGATGCTATTGACACAGGAGGGTTTGTTAGCCTGTCGACAGTAGCAAACAGGGCACAAGCATTATTATTGTTTCTGGTGATGATGTCAGAGAAGAAAGATTGCAAATTATAAGTGTGAAGTCTCTCTTTGTAGATGTCATAATGAATCTGGAGATTAGTTTTACGCCACCTGCGTTCAGCTTTTCAAAAATCTCTTTTTCCGTTTCTTACCAGTGTCAAATTTCTCCATGGAGATTTTTTCTTACCAGAGACAACCTTCACCTTAGTGGAATCAATAACATTTGTGATTTTAGAATTGAAGTCATCTACCAACTCACTGACTGAGCCCCAGGACAGGGCAGCTGTGGAAGAGAAAACCTGGTTAAATATTTCACTGGTGTTTTCAGTGATACACCATTTTGTGATCACTTTTGTTTGAATACTTTTGTACACTGACATAGTACTCTCAAATAAAACACAGGAGTGATCAGAGAGGGCAACATCTGACACAACAACCTTGGAGATGTCCAAGCCCTTGGAGATGATTAAGTCCAGAGTGTGCCTTCTGTTGTGTGTGGGCTCTGTCATGAGTCAGCCCAAAGCTATCAAGAGTGTGAAACAGTTCCACCATCCATGGTTATCAACATGGATGTTAAAATCACCAACAATAATAACACTGTCAAAGTCAATACAGATCACAGACAGCTGTTCAGTGAAATCATCAAAAAAGTTTGCACAATATTTAGGTGGCCTGTAAATATTTAGGAACATGGCTCTGGGGGTGGACTGAAGGGCCACATATTCAAAAGAAGCAACATTTCCAAAAGATAATTGCTGACATTGGAAAGAGTCATTAAACAAAACTGCAACTCCTCCTCCTCTCTTATGCACTCTGGCCTCGCTTACAAAACTGAAGTTGGGAAGGGGTTGACTCGATAAGAACAGCTGCATTGTTGTTTTGATCTAACCAAGTTTCAGTTAAAAACATAAAATCAAGCTTGTGCTAAATAATAAAATCATTGATTAAAAATGATTTCCCTGCCAGTTATCTAATGTTTAGTAGAGCCAGCTTTAGGGTCCTAGAGGCTTCATCTGCTCATGTTTTTGGGACAGGTTGTGGCTCAAAAGGAATGGATGCTAAGTTTGACAAGTTTGCAAAATCACATAACTGCCTTTTGTTTCTTGGCAGAGTCTCCTTTATTCTTCTATTACCTATCATCACAGAGATTTTGGAACCTACTGACGTGCAGGGCCCCGGCTTATCCTGGAGAGAGTCATGACTGCTGATATCCTTGCAGCCTGGACCCAAAACACATCAGTTTGACCTCTGAATGTTCTGCATTTCATCCTTATCAAGAGCTGAGGAGACAAAACATGACGCGGAGGGACGGGTGGGGGGGAGGAGGGTGAGAGCCATGTCGGAACGGGCGATGGTGACCGTCGTCGGGTGTTTATGGAAGAGAAAAAGGGAGAAGGGCGGGGGGGGGGGGTACTTTTTAATCCAGCATTGACCAGCTCCTTCATCTGGTCAGTGAACTCCAGGTGGGGGGAGGAGGAAGATGATGATCTGATTGGGGTTCGAGGGGGCAAGGGCGGTGAGACTTCACAGGTGTTGGTGTTGGTGAGGGGTCGAAGGTGGATGGAGACCCCTCCTCTTGGTTCCGATGTCTCTCCTCTTTAGGTCTCTCCTCAGATACTGGCAGATGTGATTCTTGACCAAGGTTTTCATCACACTGTGTTTTGTCTTTCTTGAAGCTGTTTTCTTTTGTCTCTTGTCCTTGGCAGAGAGAACTGATGGTTGAGACAGGGAGTAAAATAGGCTAGAGGTGAACAGTTTCACCCCAGACATGTTCAGGCAAAATCCATCTGCCTTAAAAAGATGTCTGCGTTCCCAAAGAATGTAAGCAAAGCAGAGAGCAAGGAGAAAAGGTGAACATGAGAATGTGGGTTATTAAAAGCACAAAGTCTAATTGTGATATCTGTCCCTTTTTATCCGTCTCAGGTTTCACTACTCGTACAAAGTCGGCTTCAGACCTCAAGTCCAGCCCAAGACGTTTCTGAAAAGCACCAGGAGTAAACTGAGCTTCAGCCTCACCGTCTGTAACGGTAACGTTTATGCATGATGACATGTTAAAGGGGTGTTTTGGTATTTTTAGAATATAGGTCCTAAAACTCAAATTTACATGCAGACATTTGAGTGATGGGATGATATCTTAGAGAGGATAATATGTGACCTTTTAAAACTAAATCCTGTTGCTTTCTGAAAGATGGATTTTCATTTATTCGACAGAGCATTGGGAGCCTGTCCCTGAGGGTCAAGAGTTCGTTTTGGGGGAGTTGGTGTATTTCATTGCCCAGAGCGGAGTTCTGTTAGCCGGAGAGAGTCTGTACGTGGACTCCTGCTATGCCACCAGCACCAAAGACCCGGACAGCCAGCTCAGAGTCGACATTATCACCAACTATGGGTGTGTTTTTAATCAGTAACACATGATACAGATGGGTTTTTTTTTTTTTTACTGTTACTACTCTGCTGCTTTACATGAGCTTCTTGTGTTTGACTGCAGCTGTATGACAGACAGCAGGAGGGAAGGCAGCAGCTCATACTTTCTGTCTGCAGGGGGCGCCGTGCTCAAGTTTTCTGTGGATGCTTTACTCTTCAGGGCGGTCTCACAAGTAAGAAACAATCATTTTTTTAAGACATAACTTCCCACCTGTACACAATTTTATTTCAATTTATTCTGACTGGAAATTTCCACAAAAATAAGTCACAAGTGTAAATAATTTATACTTTTTGAAGCCTTTGTTTTGGTTATTTTCTCCCATGCGTTTCACTGAATATCTGTTCTGTTGTTTGCTGTTTTGGTTACAGGTGTTGTATCTCCACTGCTCGATGTCAGTCAGTCTCACTACCTCTCACGTCTCAAAGTCCTGCAACTACAACACCGCTGCTGGCAGGTAAGCTTGAGTGAAACTGAACATCACATCATTCAAGAATCTCTAATATTTGTTTGTACGTTTTAAGAGAGGAAATTTAGAATCCTGCACAGACATGGAAATAACTAGCATAGTCATTTTTAAGAGGGTGTTATGATGTCATGGTTTTACTACAAATCAAGCCTGATGATGCCCCACTCTTGTGATAAAGGCGCAAAGATGCACCTAGAAAAACCTTCACGTATTATCCTCTTTCATCTCAAGTGTAAATAAGTCTCAGAGCTCCCCAAAACATGTGTGTGAAGTTTCCTGTTCTGAATCCACTCTGATCCTGTATTTGATCATGTCTATAAACCCTTCAATTTCAGCCCTGCTCAGAACAGGCTGTTTCTGTGTCTGTACCTTTAAATATGTAAATGAGCTGTGTCTGACCACGCCCCCTCTCTGGAAGGGCTTGGGTGTACTCGGTGCTTTCTCGCTCCATGCCCTATTGTTTACGGTGAGAAGGCAGACTCAGAGGGCAGAACAAACACCTAGCTGTGGAGTGTCACCCACCTGGGGGAGGGCTACTGCCCTTTTGATGTCATGGAGGGAAAATCTCCAAACAGCCTTTTTGAGCACACATTTTCTGACAAGTGGAGCAGGCAAAAGACGGAGAGGATGGACTTTTCTCATCAGAGACACATATTAGTGTTAGAGAAACATGGTGAAGAGTATTTTGCGTCATATGTGACCTTTATATCAACATTTTCTTTTGTACCCAATGTTTGCGTCACATGTCAAATTGTTAGTTTGAGCACTAAAATTGTCAAACTTCCCCACGTTGTTGTTCTGATACTAAGGATTCTCTGTTTTGTCACTTCACGCCTGTAGGTGGGAGGAGCTTGAAGCCTCACCCTCAGTGTGCTCGTGCTGTGACTCCACGTGCACCGATGGACAGGACGGTGAGTTCAGAACCTCCAATGTTGAAAATTGAAGTCAATGTGGAGGTGTAGAAAACTGCAGTACCTCAATTGTCCACTTGAGGCTGGATCCAAAAGTCAGAAGTCCCACTAACAACCATATTAAAATGTTAACTTTTTACAGAAGATTAAACATGTTTACAACCTGGTTCAAATAACAATTTTAGAATAGCTCATTTCTTTTCAAACACTGTACCGTGGGCATTTTCTTTTTTAACTCAACCGTTTTGATTCCATGAAGGATACGAGTTATGCCTAATTAGGGGTGTGGCTGATGTTGCTCCAAGTAGGCATGTTGTGGCTGTTTACCAACAGTGCTTAAAGCCCACCTCAGCTCACCTTACATGTTTCATACAGTCTTTGTTCATGTCACTTGACTCTAAATTACACCTGCTGAAGAGAAGAAATCAAAATACAAGACTTCACAATCTGAGTGAGGATGAGTCGTAGAGTATTGTCCCCTTATTCCAAAGACTTAATGTAAAAAAGGTCAGACCCACGGGCAGCAGTTTAAATCATGTAATTTAAGTATTTTAGCAAGAGGTGCACATTTAATAGTCCTACATTTTGGTAGCCCCACCCTAAATCCTCGCCTGCTTTACGGTCCATGTGACTCTAAAAGGGACCATCATTATAAAATGGACGTCATGCTGCTTTGAAAAATACTTGAAACTACAGATAGGGAACACAAACTGGGAGGTTTGACAGTTTCATTTTCTGACTACCAGTAGATTTTCCCCCTGCTGGACAAAGAAGTCAGGTTTGGTCATTTCTGCATTGGCTTCACTTTTAAAAACAAGAGGCTGTGTCCACTTCTTATTTGTTTTGTGTGTCAACAACAAAAATTTCAGAATAGGCAGATTAT